ATATATATATATATCCTATGAAATACCTTTTTATTAACATTTTATCAAAGTTTTTGTTTCATGATTTGATATGTTGATTGAATTTATTTTTACCAATATATCACCTTATATCTAACTAACCTATATCATCTGTTCATGTCATATCCATATTTTATTTCCACGTGTTATTACAACATATTGTTATGTCTAATTTGTCACCTTATATTGATCCAATTGTTTGCACTAATTTTCTTATTGCAATTTTTAATTATCGAATATATTCACCTACGTAGATGATTGAAAAACACACCTATATTCTCTCTCGCCTATTAACAGCCATTAACGTTATGCTAATATGCAGTAAATTTAAGTTAAAATTTAACAGAAGCATTGTCATTCTTTTTTTTTATTTAAAAATTTCTAAGTGGCTATATTTTTACAGAAAAAAATGCCAAATAGCTTTTTCTGAAAAGCAGTATATATTTAATTATTTCTTTAATACTTAAAAGTGATTGTAGTTTAAAAATAATAGTCTGACTGAATATAATTATATTTTTAGAGTTAATTTGAATTTAATCTTAAAATCAAACCTCTTTAGACTGACGAACAGTGGTATATTTAATAAACATAATATTTATATATATAATTCTCTTCGTGGGGACCATGCGAGACACCATGTATACGCACGCCGTTACTCCCCGGCTCTTTAGGCATATAGATACCACCCCACCCCTACCATTCTGGTGAGCTAAGATTCACCCCGATTGTTTACAATCGTTGAGCCGGGTCGAATTCACTAACTATGAAGTACTGAAAAGTAGAAAATAAAACAACTAAATAGAGGCGTATGATACGCCCCGGGTCAGCCCGTAGTGATTAAAACAAGAAAACATCCACATTTACAAAATTCAAAGTAAAACTAAGAATTATATTAAATTCACTTTTGTAAAATTCTGCAAGAAATTCAAGAAATGATTGACGTGACCTGAAACCAACTTCCGCCTGAATGTCAGAAAATAAAAAATCTTCGGCTAGCAGCCCAGGTGACGGCTCTAATTTAATTATAACAGGCCCTCGCTTACAGGTAGGAAATGGGTGGGATTTATCTCCCTTACACACATCAACATGACAAGGGCAACGAAACTGTTTTTTTTAAAGCGCGGTAATAAATGAAGACGTTTCTGATTTATATTCCGTGTTGTCTCCCCTTAAATATTTTAAAGAAATCTATTTTTACTGTTTTTTTTACTGTTTTATAAATTACAATTATTTCAAAATTAATATATTAGATGATTCGCTAACCCACTAGTTTTTCGCTACATCACGTGATACACCAAACTGGTAAACTTTGTCTTGGTCCCTGCAGACTAAGTTCGCTAACATTTTTAACGGCACAGTCGATAAAAACTCTCACCATCCTTAAGTGTTAAACAATATATTAGATCTTGACGCGATAACCAGTAACCAGCGTATGAAGGGATAATTTGGTTAGCACAATGCCCAGTTGCTTTTAAATTCCCTGACGTGAGTTAGGCACCCAATAGAGCTAGGTGGACTCAGGGACGTTCCTCTTTACCTGAATTCGAGATTTCCGGGTTAGCAGTATAGCGCTTTACCTATAGGCCACGTCGCCCCTTACAATGTCTTGCCGTAGTAGAGTATCATAGGCGGCCACTAGAGCTTCAAGTTAAGGAATACTCGCATACGTAAACGTATACTAACAAGTGTTCAACGCGTTTGTCAATGGGATAAATGCCTGCATTGACATCCTAATGCTGAATTAGTTACCATACAGAAGAGTTGGAGGTTAAGGGGGATGACTGGTGTAGGGGCTATCTAGCTTTACGTTACGGTAGAGCGGCACCTATCCAGGGAAGTTTTCCAAGCAACCATCTTTCCCCTTTTCGTAGAACGGATGACTTCCGATGTCAACAACCCCCGCCCTACACAAGCAGATTAGAACTGACACATCGTCGAAGATGTATACAAACAATTAGAATCTAATTAAGGAACGGATATGAGAAAGCGTGCATGTAAACAAACTGTAAGTGTCCACACGATAGACTCTCTGAAGAAAGTTAAAGCCGCCCTATGATAGATGGTCGGGGTTGGCCTGTCCCGGAAATACACAAGGAAATAGCCTGGGCAGATTTATGTCGGTTGGGGTAAGGCTGGGGCTAGGCTTGGGCTTATTGGCATCAACTGCCGTTTTTTTTTTTACTGGGAGATCAAGCTAAATAATTTAAAGACTGAACCTTTGTCAGGTAGATGAAACATGGATTCCAACATTTGATTAAAATAGAACCGATTATAAAGTTTTTTTTTACCTCTCTTCTTGAAACGCTAACCCCCACGCTCTTTAACCATTCTTTCTGTAATGTTAACTCCTCCTTTTTAGACTTGCACTTTGACCCCTCTTCCGGTGACTTTATTGTTTCTCCAGGTGACTTTGACTTATCTTCCTATGACCATGACCTTTCTAACTGTGACTTTGACCTCTGTTTTTTTTACTTTTCCTCAATTTTAACCCAACCATAAGATCCACAGTTTATGTGTTTGAATATTAGATTTAGAATTTTTTTTAACTACGCATGACTTTTATTTTGTTAGTGACAATACATGAACTATCTTATTATGTAATTAAATAAAAAGTGAGTCGTGTTTTCGTATTTAAAATTAGTCTTCAACATTTCAAAAACATAGTTAATTATTTTTTTAAAGAATTTCGTCATTAAAGCAATCAGAAAACGTAAATATAAATGACATGCAAAAACTAAAAAACTTTATACAGTTGTTAGCGTATGAATAAAGTGTAGCGATGGTAGAGAGACGGAAATATGTACTTCAGTATAAGAAGGGAGAATTACTCACCCAAGGACTTTTAAGTACCAATATCTTGAGTCCCTTACTTTCATTATACTTGATACATGAATAAACATAATACGTCGCTCTTAACTATCCAAAACTTTCTGTTTCTGATACGTCTAAGACAATCAAATGAAATTTTGCAAAAGAATATATTAAATATAAGTGAAATTTCTCAGAAAACTTCAACACCGAGACGGCCTCGTATTTTGAATGAAGATAGCTGTCATCTGCCCCTTCTACTATTCTTAAACCAGGCGCTCATATGGTGTATATTGTATTTCTTACTAAAGGACGTGCAGCTTTTTTGATGATGTGCTCTTTAAGTTGACCATCCACTACCTCTTCTTAATCCACACCACATATTTTCAAACCCACATCCACACCAACTTCCATACCACTCACTTCCAAAGCCTGTTTCAAACCCCCCAAATTCAAACCTACATTAACACTAGCCTAATCCAGACTCACATCTACACCACACACTTCCTACCCCACGTCCACACCACTCACCTTCAAATCCACATCCACTACCACACATATCCAAACCAACTTCCATACCACTCACTTCCAAAGCCTGTTTCAAACCCCCCAAATTCAAACCTACACACTTCCTACCCCACATCCACACCACTCACCTTCAAATCCACATCCACGCCACACAAAGCCAAACCTACATCCACACCACCCAAAGCCAAACCTACATCCACACCACCCTAATCCAAACCTACATCCGCACCACCCTAATCCAAACCCACATCCAAACCGACATCCACACCACACAGCCGCACCAACTCTCACACCAAACACATCTCCACCGTTCACCTCCGAAGAAATCAGTACCAAGTACGGCATGTCTTTTACACAAAATAAACGTCAAAATCCGAAACGGACGAAAACGAAGCTCACTGAAAATGTGGGTTTGATTTATATTAGGCCCCGTTTTTTTCAGAGTAATTTCCCCAATCTAGTGCGACCTTGACTAGCCTCACTGAATTTTTTTAAAAGTCAAAGAAAGAAGTCTGTCTTATTTTTATCTATGTCTAAAACAATAAAACCCAGTTTTAAGAAGAATTTTTATTACAAAATTGCCTGATCTAATTAAACTAATTACAGCTTTATTTTGAAACAACCTTCTGTAAACCCAGTAGATAAACATAGCCATTAAATGAGCTAACCAGATGGCATAAATCTACTCCGACGTTTATGACGTATTACGTTATAAAACCTATGACATCAATGGGTTCCTCTTACCCAATAAAAATTATAGTTACCAGCGAGCCGTTGACTCCAATCCTCCAAAAGCTCTCCATGTTTTTATGGCCAAAAAAGTGTGGTACATTTTTTAATGTAAACAAGACAAGCGTCGTTTTAATGAACTGTGAATATTTATCTGTGGCTTCAATTTAATTTACTGCTTCAGATAAGATACTAGTTTAAAGTCTAAGGATGAAAATAACTAAATATACTCTCCGAAATGCGCAAGCATTGTTATCACTTTTTCAAAGTTTGGTTCAGGTTCAGTTATCGATGTTATGCTATATTATATTAAAATAAAATTATAGCTAAAAGTGATAATTTTACCAGATGTTTTTATTAACGAGAATATTAATTTGATGAGACAAATAGCATACTAATTTTTTTTCCTACTTTATTATTTAAAATAAAGGAAAAATTTTAATTTATTTTTCAATTGTTGCCTGTGTTTTCAAACCATTCATTTATACATATTATGATTTGGTTGTTTTATGAATCTTTTGCGCACTTCTTTGGGACAAACGTTCTTGTTTTGATTTACGAAAAATATCAAGCCACATTTTTTAATGATTCTTAATTAGTTCGAAAAATTACGATTAACAAAATTAATTTGTGTTTCTTCAAAATAAATTTTTTTCTTCAAAATAAATTTATTTTCGGTCGAATATTCTAAATATTCGATTCAGTCAAACATGCAAATTAGTGTAACTAAACACAATTTAACTTCTCTAAGTGTCTAGTTATGGCAACTAATTTCGATGACGTTGGCTATGACAGCACACAAATGTTGGCCAGATAAATTTTAAAATTGATGGCCACCATAAAGATAACTATTTTATGATGGTTATCCTATATATAGGCCTATGTTGCTTTGCCGTACCGTTTAGTTGTGGCGAGTTCCATTTCTTCACAGAACTTCAGGCTCTAGTCAGGATGATGCCCTAGAACCATTTTTTTAAACACCCACCTAAGGGCTAATTACACTATATTCATTCAATTTAAATTATGTAAATAAAAAAAAAACGTGTCCATAATGAGATACAAGAAACACAGACTGGGTATGTATCTAATACATGCGGTTGATGCATTGAAATTCGTTGACAATGTAATCTCTATTTTGTTGTAAAAGTATTCCTACAAATATTGCCATATTTATTGCCATATATATATATATATATATATATATATATATATATATATATATATATATATATATATATATATATATATATATATATATATATATATATATATATATATATATATATATATATATATATATATATATATATATATATATATATATATATATATATATATATATATATATATATATATATGTATATGTATATATATATATATATGTATATATATATATATATATATATATATATATATATATATATATATATATATATATATATATATATATATATATATATATATGGAGCCAATATTATTATGTTTATATAGGGTATATACTCACATACATTTATACTGAACTTTGACAATCATCAACTTTTCTAAATGTGAATTGACCAGACATTCGAGTTTGACTTAATTAAGCGTAAAATCACTTTAAGTACTGTGGATCTACGTAAATGGGGCACTTTACAAGACACCCCAATCCTGGAGATATTCGAAGGATCGTGTTTTATCGAAGCTTGTGTTGATTTACAACTGAACACTTTTGAGATCTGTTTGTGATTTTTTTTATGCGCTTCTTAACGAACACATGTTGTAAGTCCTTATGTAGGGGTACAGAAAGTAAATACATTGTTAAATCTGAAAGATGCTAGCCTTGAATTCAATATTTTAAATGTTTACTCTTATTCTATCCGGAATTAGCGTCTCCGGACTACATTGTCACAAAGTATCTATTTAGAAAACATCTCAATATACCTACGCCATGATGCATGTTGCAGACACTACCGCATCCAAACATATGGCACTACCTGCGGCCAAAAATGGGTTGCAGGTACTCCCCAGTGTTTCTTCCAGACTTTTTTCTCCGGGGGGGGGGGGCACTTCAAATTTTCAGGGGGGCGGTAAACTTTCTTCGGGGGGTGGGGCGAACACTGTTAAAAGTATATATTTTCTATATAAATTATATTAATTTCATTTCGTTCGGGGGGGGGGGGGGCGGTAAAAAAATTTCGGCGGGGCTTCGCCCCCCACCCGAAGAGATGCCCGGAAGAAACTCTGGTACTACCTGCGGCCAGAAATGGGTTGCAGGCACTACCTGTAGCCAGATATGTGCTGTAAGCACTATCTGTAGCCAAAATGTGTACTACCTGCAGCGAAAACTGTGTTTCACAACTTGCAGTCAAACATATGTGATAAAGTTTGAACCTGCAGCTATTTTGACTTTGATCCTGGCTACTGTGCAACAGTCGGTAATATTTTGGTCTCAGACTTATAATTGCTGTATTTCAGAAATGCTGAGCTGTATTAGATTTCTAGCCTTGTCCGTACTTATTACCGGCGCATCACCGGATTGCCATGTTGTCGACTGGGTTCTGAGCTTTGAAAAAGCCGGATTATCGCAATGCGACCGTACCGGCGACGTCATATCCGGTTTCTACCGGAACGACGTCGGTGTGGTAGATTAGAATCAGTCGAATGTTGCTCCAAACATGATCCGTGGCGAAACGGGGAAGAGTTTGTACATGCGAATTGGTGGTTAAGTCTTGACAAAAACAACTCTTGGTCCTATTGTCCATACGGTCACTTTCTCACGGGCCTGTACAGAACTGGGGAAGGCACGGGGTTTGGGAAGGTCGCTGTTTGAAGCCGCTTCATCACCCCAACTTTTACAGCTATTGCTACGATTACGACATTGGCTACTGCTTCAGCAAGAAGGGTAGGTGCAAGTGTCACGTGGGCACCTATGTGGTGGGAGTACATCGAGGTGGATGCAATGACCTGCGCTGTTTGGACAAACTTCGCAGCTGCAGGTTTGCTGATTAACAGTGGATGAACCTGGATGACTTCGGCGTTGCACAATCTTTTTTTTATTATTATAAGAATTATTCAATAGCTAACTTATAATTTGGCGAGTTTTGTTATCGTTCTAATAGAACAAAATGCAATTAATTTCTTTCAGTCTTTTGGTAACTAAATTAAACTAATTTAGAAAATCTTTAAATCTTTTATCATTTTTATTGTATTAGAGTAAGTCACGCAAATCCCTCAATAAAAAAGCAGATGTCGTCGGGTTTAACAAAGTTCATAAATATATATATATATATATATATATATATATATATATATATATATATATATATATATATATATATATATATATATATATATATATATATATATATATATATATATATATATATATATATATATTATATATATATAATTGCATACATGTAATCTAAGTTTCAATCGAAAATACCTGCAGAATCATCCTTTATTATCCACAACAAACACAACAATAATGCCTGTCACTGGCATTATGGCTTTAAAACAAAAATGTTGACAACACAACACCACACGTTTTATTTATTGGATCAGGGCCGGTGTGCAGCTCCCCGCCTGTGTCTAACATAACGTTACGTCTGGGGATACTTGGTAGACTGTGAATATCCAGCATAACTGTATGTTTTGTCTAAACCAGCGGTTCATTACCTCTTTGGAGGTACCTATTCGCTGAACCCTTCAAAACAGTTATATCGTCCGCACTGACAATATCTTATCGTAAGTCATATGAGTCCGATTTGTCTTGACCTCCGCTGAACCCTGAGAGTGACTCACAGAAACCCGGGGTTCGATCAAGCCCAGCTTAAGAACCACTACGAATAAAATTTAATAAAAATAGAATTTCAAATGTTTCAGCAATGTTTCTGCGTGCGATTAAAATACACCTTAGAATAACAAAATATTTTTTTTGAGTTGTTAAGTAAAGCTTGATGTATGTCCCTATTAAATCTACTTGGCTTTCACGTCTTACAGAAAGAAGTAGGACGTGCCTTGAGAGCTAATGTTAGGTTGTAACACCAGAATTTAGAGAGCCGTTGGGGAAGAGTTTTTGCTAAACAGAAAACATTTTGCGTAAATTTTATTTTGACACACCAGCAAGCGACTTCATCCTGTGCGTGAGGACAAAAATAATAAACTATTATGGTAATTAAATCATAAACGTGTCTCCCGTTTCAACTCGCATCGCATAAAACACACAGTATTTTTTGAAGAATAAATCCCTGCACTAAATCTAAATTTCTCAAGACAGTTGTAGTTATACAGCTCACGACTGCTAGTCCAAGAGTCCACACAACGGTGATGAGTATTTGAGTCACGTTAGGCAAACAAAGGCGGCTGGGCGTAGTGTTGACCACACTATCACCTAGGGGTCAATGAAACAGATTGAAACAGATGAACTCTATTTCATCTACACTGAGCGTCTTGGACCCGAAAGAGAAAAGATGATGATAATAATATATAATATAATATAAATATAAATATATAAACAGATCGTTTCAATAAATTGATTATGCTGTAGTCTGGATTTTTTATCTTATCTATCTATCGTATGTTATTTTCTTTCTTTTATTTTACTTCTATTGAAGTGTCTTTATAATCTGCGGGTGCAGTACGTTGTACGTGTTTATCATCTGCGGGTAAAATTAGTGGGGCGTCCTAAAAAAAACATCGGCGTACGTAATATGGCATCTTTGTAAATGAGTAAACTGCCCGTTGTGTGAAACATCTTAACGGGTCTCATCTTTTCAGCAGGGGCAGTAGAGCCTCCAGACCAGGCTAACGGCTACGTCAACAGAGGTGCCGACATGAGCACGGAGGAGACGGACAAGCTGCCGCCCCTGACCATGGGGCAGAAGAAAAGGCGGTTCTCAGCCCCTACTGTTGCCGCCCCTGGTGGGAACCAGGTACGGTCACATCGAGTCTTACAGTAGTACATACATAAACGTTTGGTTGTAGTAAAAGCCAATTGTTATAGTCACACAGTAGCTAACAACAAATGTATTAGTATGGAAGCTTCAAACGAAATGTATATTTATATAGGGCTGGTAAGTAGGTCACCAACCAGCTCTATGGCTCATGCAGGTTTTATTGAGCCGTAGAACTGGATGGTGACCTACTTACCAGTCCTATAGTTGCTAAATACGAAAAATAGCCTGTAGTCTTAAAAAGTCTAGATATATTTTATTCCGCTTCGTCTAAAGATAATTTTTTTCTTTAGATTTTTGTCTTAAACTGTTAGTCTTGATATATCGTGTCTTAAAATATTCTGTATTGAGACACTTTCTGTCTTTACAACGCTTTAATCTCTGTTCCTTACTTCCTGCTCCCAGATTGTGATAGCCAGGACCCCACTAACTCAGGTGGCCTATGACGACCTTCACCTCAACAAAGACGCCCTCCAAAAGACGACCTTACTGGAGAAGGTCAAGCGGAACATGTACTGCTCCAAACGCCGTCTCTGGAAGCTGGTGTCGACCTACATCCCCGTGATTAAGTACATCCGCTACTACAAGCTGAAGGAGAACTCCGTGGCTGACATCGTCGCTGGCATCACCGTCGGCATCGTCCACATACCCCAGGCCCTGGCCTTCGGTCAGCTCACCTCGGTCAAGGTCGAAAACGGACTCTTCACCTCCCTCTGGCCTGTTTTACTCTACGTTATCTTCGGTACTTCCGCCCACGTTTCCATGGGAACCAGCGCCGTCATCTGCATCTTAACCGCCGCGACGGTTGACAGGGAAGGTCAAGCCTGGGCGGCCTCGCGGCCTTGGATTATGAACCAAACTGGCAACGGGACGATCCTTGACGATTTACCGGAGTACATGGATTTTAAGGAAAATCTGGCAATGGCTATAACGCTGATTACAGGGATTATGATGATTGCTATGGGGTTTTTGAAGTTAGGGTTCATCACCGCGTACTTGTCGGAATCTTTCTTCACTGCCTTCACGTCGGCCGCGGCCGTACACATCGGCATCAGCCAGGTCCCGGCCATGCTCGGCATCAAAATAAAACGATACGGCGGCGCTTTCAAAATCGTCTTCATGGTGCGGGACATCTTCACCAACATCACGGAGGCCAACGTGGCGGCGATCATCTGCGCCATCATCTCCTGCGTCATCATTCTGCTGGTCAAGGACTGCGTCAACGAGAGATTCAAACACAAACTCTACGCGCCGATCCCGATTGAGCTGTTCATCGTCATCTTCGGCACGGTCGCTTCCTACTTCGGGGATTTCCGAACAGAGTACAAGGTCGATGTCGTCGGAACGATCCCAACGGAAATTCCCGTACCAAGCATCCCTGTTGAAGGTTTGAAACTTTCATCGAATTACATAGTCGACTGTTTCATTTTGGCGATTTTGATCTTCGCCAACACCATCGCCATGGGCAAGATCTGCGCCAAGAAGCACAACTACGAGATCGACGACAACCAGGAGATGCTGGCCTACGGCATGTGCAACGCCTTCAGCTCGTTCTTCAACTGCTTCCCCTCCAGCGTCTCCCCGCCCCGGTCTATGGTGGCCAGCAGTATGAACGCCAGGACGACCCTCAATGGCATCTTCGTCTCCATCCTCATGCTCCTCGTCATCCTCATCGTCTCCAGGCTCTTCACTGAGCTTCCGAAAGCCGTTCTTGCCGCCATCATTTTCATCGCACTGAAAGGTCTGTTTATTCAAATCATCGACGGGAGAAAGTTCTGGCGAATCAACAAATTCGACTTCGTGATTTGGTTCTTCACATTTTTCGCTACAGTGTTTATTGATATCGATATGGGGCTTGGAGTTGGGGTAGGCGTCTCCCTGATAACGGTAGTTTTCCAGACCCAGTTCGCTAGAGGCTACAAGCTCGGCTTCACAAAGTCCGACCCCTGTTTCGTGGAACACAAAAAGTACCGAGACTCCACGGAAATTCCCGGAATCAAGATTTTCCGATTTCAGTCTTCGCTGTATTTCGCGAACGCTGAAATTTTCCGAAACACGCTGTACCGCTGCACCGTAAACCCGAGGAAATTGCTGAAAGGTTTGAAGAAAAGAGAGAAGAGGTTAGCCAAGCTCAACAATGAAAGAATCGCGCAGGGACTCCCGCCAGAAGACAGACGCAACTCCATCATGATGGGAGAGGTGGGGCTGGCCTCGCAAAACTCGTCAAGCAGTCTCAACAAGTACCCGCTAACCCTCACGGAAACAGAGAGGAACAGTATGGGAAAGCTCACGAGCAGCGAGAGTGCTCAGGCTGAGAGGATCCGACGCGTGTCGCTCCCCAACATGGAGAAACCCAAATTCCAGAGCGTCGACGAAGATCAGGAGATGAGCAACAACAACGGTGACCTGGGCATCCCATCCGGCAACGTCGTCGCTAAGTCTCCGAACCCAGAGCGATACTCCAGCAAACAAGTCAACGGTTCTGGAACTCTGGATTACTCCAAGCGACGAGAATCGACTTTCTCCATCGATTTCGACGATTTCGAAGAAGACCCCGACGACGGCGATGAACTATTCACAGATGAGAAACTCCGACAAATGAGGAAGATCCACCACATCATTTTGGACTGCTCCACCATAAATTATATCGACGCATCCGGGTCAAACGTCCTGAGCCACATCTTCACAGAATACGGGCACGTGAATATTAAAGTATTTTTAGCTGGATGCTCCGCTGACATGCGCAGAGCTATGGAGCACGCAGGCGCGTTTGATAAGATACCACGCAACCATCTTTTCCTTGACATTCATGACGCCATAGCCATCGCCAAGCCAGAGAGGATTCTGCCGCTGGAGGCTGAAGCTTTGGAAGACTTCTCCGACGAGGAAGCCATAGAAGACTCGTATGTAACTAAAATGTAGACAACAACAATCTACTTTGGCCAGGACAGACAATCACGCAAGGTGAAACTTGCAAAAATAATACATGATTAAGTCCCTTTATTTAAAAATTATTTCTAAAACACATTTGATAAATATTTTAGAAAACGATGTATTGGGTGATTTCATTGTAGCATTCAAGCTACGTTTACTATAAAATGTATCTCTCATTCTCATTACAGCAAATGTTGTTTATTCTTTTGTTGTTAATAATCTTCCACAATTATCAATTTTTGAACAATATATTTCAAAAGTTAAAAAAAAATATTAAATTATACACTTTTGTACTTGTAATTATTAGACAAATATTGTGATGGATATTTTCAACAAATGATAAACAATTTTTAACTATACCTTTTACCCGAACGTTTTTATTCAGACACCTACCAATACCATAATTAAGTTTTTGAAATTTTTTTAGTAAAATTTGCTTGGTTTAGATTATAGTACAAGACTCGAAAAAATTTCATAGCTCGTTTTCCTATCAAGTTCTTCTCATTCATTTTTAAAGCTTTAATAAATGTTCTTGCATATTGATCAAGTTTCTTATCAATATTTTTTATGTACCAGAAAACTGTAATGTAGTTTGAAAGCACAAGATTGTTATTTATATTGGTTTTTGAGTGGAGAAAATGTTATAATTAAAGAAGTAACAATTTGATTTCAGTAAAAAGTTAATAAAATAGCAAAGTTTTGTTATGTTAAATGTGAACTTAGGGAGGAAATTGAGGGTCAAAGGCTGCTTAATGTTAAAGTGTATGTAACAGGATTGGATTGCTGAAGTTGATATAGATGGATTGTTGAATGTTGAGGTAAGTTTGATTGGATTGTTGAATTTTGAGGTTAGTTTGATTGGATTGTTGAATGTTGAGGTAAGTTTGATTGGATTGTTGAATGTTGAGGTTAGTTTGATTGGATTGTTGAATATTGAGGTTAGTTTTATTGGATTGTTAAATGTTAAAAGTTATAATTAGATTGTTGAATGAGGTTGGTATAATTGGATTTACAAAAGTTAAGGTGAGTGAGTTTGGTATAATTGTTAAGGTTGGTATAATTGATTGACTTAAGGTTACAATTTGTATGAGTGGAGTGTTAAATATCGAGACTAAAAATTTAGTTTTTATATTTAACTCTCCAATATTGCTGAAGAGTGATTAGGTTGTTAAACAACAATGAATGTTGAACCTGAAATCTAGTCTAAGTCTTGAGTTTTCAATCTAAGATGTAAAACAAAACAATACAAATGGGGTAACAAGTTGAATGATGAAGTTATATCTGTATATTTGCTATATTAATCTTGAAGAAGTGTTTAAAAACATACTCACATTATAAAAGGATTTCAGGTTTTCATAGAGCATGTATCCTAGAGTCACTCAACTTTTAGGAATGTTTTTTTTTTTTAACTTGTGTTAGCAAAAATATACTTGCTTTAGAGAATTTGAGAAAAATGAGGTATTCATGTTAAAAAACCTATTGAATTTTTTTATTTACAAAGACTGAATTATTTTTTAATTTTATTTTATCCAATATTGTTACCAGGTTATTTTGATTACTTATATATTTTTTAAAATATATACATATATACATTAAACATTAGTAAACATTGGATTTCATAAAGCTCTAGTGTTTGTTAAACTTTTATTTTAATGTTATTTGGATCAAGAGTATTACAAATATAAAATGGTGGAATTATAAATATTATAATAAAAAACACATTGATATTTTAGGTAATTTTTTTTTATTATTGTTAGTTACATGGTTTTTTTTCTTTAGTTTGTTAAAGCTTTTATTATACAACTTTATATTTGATGTTTTGTTTTTTTTTGTAGCAGATGGCAATTTTTCCATTATAAATTCATTTTAAAGGCTGAAAGTTTTAGACATTGATGGTAACCAAGATGGTTAAATAGTACATAAAGAAAATCAGGAAATAGTTTTGACCAGTGGTCAGCTGATACGCAGCATTGGATGACTGCAGCAGTCCACAGGTCTTACAGCACAGCTCTGGGTTCTGGGTGCATGAAGTCTCTGATGAACATTTACCAGGCTCGAAGTCCCCATACTCGCAGCCTGTAAAAAAGTAAAGTTTCCCTTTCAAACCTGATGGTCTATGGGGCGAGTGAAGTAGAGTTCACTTGTTTCTGTGACCTCAGCATATGAAGAGATAGTTTGGTCAGCACTATGCACAGCCGCCTTTACTTTCCCTAACGTGAGTTAGGTACCCATCAGAGTTGGGTGGACTCAGGGACGGTCTACTGACATGAACCCGGATTCGAAATCAAGACTTACGGGTTAGCAGTCCAGCTCTCTACCGCCAGACCACTACGTCCCATACTCACAGCCTGTGCATTGGTCAAACAGAATTGTTAATTTTTCTTCGACACAACATTGACAGCTTAATCAGCTATACCTACATGTTCATACACACAACTTTATTTCACAAACAATAATTCTCCAAGACAACTGTATCTAACTCCTAACTCTAAGGATTTAAGCTATAGTTGTCATTTGGATAATTTGGTTTGCCTAAAGCTCATCTACAATAACTAATTGTTAGACTTTATTTCACTCAAAAAAAGTTATTCATTATAATATTAATGCTTCTTGCATGAAAAGAAACAGCACACAAATCTCAAGTAGAAAACAACAAAAAAGATGAATTTTGAAAATTAAAAAGAAAAAATTGTAATTTCTACCCAGCTGTTCTTCAAAAATATCTTATAAAAATTAGTATTCTGTAAAGTGAGCCTATACTTGACATGCAAACCTATATTGGAATGTTCTGAGTAGGGCCTATTCAATAACTCCAAGTTCTAACAAAATGCTGAAATTTGTGCTATTTATAGACCTACTGTTATAGTTCAACCAGTTAAAAACTTATTTAAAGAGTTACACACCTTGCTCTTTTGTGTTTACAATCTTGCATGATGCGCAACAGGCTGCACGCACATCCTCAATGTAGCACAGATAAGGGAACATAATGGAGATGGGGATGCAGGAGATATTTGTCATCGAGTCTGGGTGGTCCATGCACTGGTTTTTTTCTAGAATTTAAAATATTGATCATTAATTTTGTACTAGAGTTAAAAACATTGATCACTGATTTTCTTCTAGATCTAGAATTTAAAATATTGATCACTGACTACAATTTTTAAAATGTATCACTGATTTTCTTCAAAGGATTAATGTTGATCACTGATTTTCTTCAAGAAGTTAAAACATAAGTCACATGTAGCCTATCATAAAACAACAATTAATATCACCAGGCAAGATGTCATCAGGTGTTTTGTTAATTGTGGGAGGACCAGGGCCATAAGTAAACATTCAAACAAACAATTTTAAACATGTTTGTGCTAAGTGCTTTTTTAAATTTTCAGCTTTATTTTACATTTAGACTAATTTGTTCACACATTATCAGTTACTGGTAGTAAAAGATTTTATTATAAGATATTTGATATTTAATTAGCAGTGTCTAGTGTGGACCAAATGACTAGTTTACATACTAATTATTTACTTATACCAGTCAGTATATATATATATATATATATATATATATATATATATATATATATATATATATATATATATATATATATACACACACACATTAATCAGACGATAGTTATTTACCTGTTGCAGTATCCACACCTGACCTTACTTTTGGTTTAGCTGCTATCACTGACTGAGGAAATGAACAGCTCTCACAGCAGTCTATGTGGCCAGTTACTATATGGCAGTTGGCCTTGCTGCAGTTGGCCATATTGTCACCATATTTACAGCCTAAAAAAATGTTCATTGCATGCTCAATAAAACTTTAGCAAGAATTTGAACAGAATGAACTAAAAATAACTTTATCTCATATATGTTCTTGCTAAGGCTTTTCAATGATAATAAGTATTAAAAAATAAATTCTGGATGTGGAATTCAAAATGAATTAATTAATCAAATGTGATGTAGCCTACTATGTGTAGTTTAAGGATAATTAGTGGTAGCCTTGCACAATTTATGAATAAATCATAATAGTGTTGAACATTTTATGAATAATTTGTGGTAGCTGTTTGGTTTAACAATATTTTGTAGTAACATTTCACAATTTATGAATAATGTGTACAGATGTTGCACAGTTTGTGAATAATTTTGATTAGCCTGGCGCAGATTGTGAATTTATTGTTTGCCCTTACTTTCGTCAGGCCTGGAGATGTTCCTGCATGAAGCACAGCACAACCTCTCAATACCAGCAGCATAACACAGGCCATTAAATTTCTTGATGAGACTGGGGCATGGCTCTGGTAGAAATAGACCAGGGGCAGAGTCACCGAATAGACAATCACCTGTAAGATATAATCAATTTAATTCAACAAATATTCAGTCACATGTATAATTAGATTGTTGAATGAGGTTGGTATAATTGGGTTTATAAAAGTTCAGGTTGTGGATTGTTGAGTGAGTTTGGTATAATTTAATTGTTAAGGTTGGCATAATTGAATGATCTAATGTTACAATTTGTATGAGTGGAGTGTAAAATATTAAGACTAAAATTTAGTTTTTATATTTAACACTCCAATAATGCTGTTGAGTGATTAAGTTGTTAAATAGCAATAATTGTTGAGCCTGAAATCTAGTCTAAGTCTGAGTCTAATTCACTAAATATTCAGTCACCTGTAGAATACAATCAGTCTAATTTTACAATTTAAATGTAAACCACAGCCCTCCAAAAAATGTGTCTATTGCCCAAATTAAACCTAAGTAATTTTTTTTTATTTCATTGGTACATAAAAATGTAATTTTTATGCGTTACTTGTACATAAAAATGTCATTTTTGTTTGTACTGGTATTTTAAAATGTCAATTCAATACTGGTACTCAAAAATGTAATTTTCATTTGATAAAAGTATATAAAATTGTCATTTAAATACTCCGAGTTACCTTCAACTTGTAGAGCAGAATCATCATGCACACATCTGCCTTCTTTACACACCTGGAAACAAAATATTTTTATTTTGCTGTTTGTTATATTTGCAGGAAAATTTGAGATCATTATAAGATTTTTTTTTTTTCATGTTTTTGGCACAATTAATCACATCATCTTAAGATCACCCACAGAAACTTAATGCAGCTACAAAGTATCCATAATTATTATTGAACCATTTATACAATTATGGGCCTGATTTACAATAAGTTATGGAGGTTAGAAAAAGACAAGTGACAAGCAGGCATTTTCAATTATAAGTGGTAAAACAAGGTAACCAGGAGGAAGGGAGCTAGGTACAAAAGAACTGGACTACATATTTGATACCATTTTATTACCACAAGAAGTTCCCATCAGAGCATGGTGCACTGTGCAATCATTTTTTCCTGGTCTGAAACAAGTCAGCTCAGTACAAATCTTGATGTCAGGAAGAAGCTGCAAAAAAAAAAGCCAAATGTTTTTAAAAATATTAAGCCAAAACCATTTTTTTAAAAATAGTTTTTAACTAAAAACTATTGTTTAAGAAACATTAACATTCATGTCAAACTGGAACAAAATTATTTTTTTTAAAGCAATCTACCTTGCAGTAAAAAGATCCATTTCCATGCTTGAGTTGACATTGGTGATCTGGTGGTATTTCCTGGCCCAGCAGACGATTAGACACGTTAGGGAAAACATAGTTGGTTGTTAGTGAGGTAGTTAAACAGACAGTCCCTATACTGCAGAGAGAGTTAAGTCTTGTTTTTAGCATTTTTTTTTAAATATAAACTTTGAACATCAATTACAATGCAGGCTGATGTACAGGATGGAAAAATAAATCAGGCTTTACTGTTATGTTCTTTTATATGACACAACTGTAAATCTGGCTTTCCAAAAAAAAATTTTACTACTACTCCATTTATTATTCTTTGTATTCCATTTTGTTTTCAAAGAATTATAAGAGTTGAGATATGCTCAGCCAACAAACTTTTAATCGATACAATTATTATAAGAGTTGAGATATGCTCAGCCAACAAACTTTTAATCGATACAATTTTTATCTCTGGCTATAAGTCCAAATTCTTCCATCTTCCTCTTAAAAGATCTCAAATAAGTGATCCTTGCCCACCCCCCCCCCCCACACACACACACAAACTTTATTATTCCATCTGCATTCCATTTCAGCTCCAGCCCACTTAAGCTGTAAAGGGTTTTCAACACTTCTTAGTACTATAAAAAATGTTGATAACTGTAGGTATTATTTAAGCCATTGGTTATTAAAATTCAAGAAGACTATTCTATTATTGTGACACACTGGTAAAGTAGAAAGTGAAGGTTGTAGAACTAATCATTACAGATAAAGCATACAAGAGACTTTGTACCCTTTACTGTAACTTTCTAGCTTTAAAACTAAACAGAGCAGAACTCACAATGTTTTTAACAACTTTCCAATGTGTTCAGTAAAACTACGAATACTGCAAGGGGAGAACAGCCATGGATTGAGTTCTGTCCCTTGGTTCTCATGCAGACTGCCCTTTGCCATGATATAGCGATCTTCAGTCTTACATTCATTGTCTTCACCATCATGATTAGCAGAAAGACTGAGTGGGGAAGAAAAGAATTTGTACTCTTAATTCACTGGGTTTTTTTTTTTTGCTAATCTTTAAAAAATAAAAAGTAAGTTTTAGTAATACTAAAAGCAATGGACAGAAACACTTTTCTGTTACATTTATCCTTTTTGGGTAATTAACTTGCTACTGTATATATAGGTACATGTACATATATATAGACACACACTTACACACATATATACAAACATATATATATATATATATATATATATATATATATATATATATATATATATATATATATATATATATATATATATATATATATATATATATATATATATATATATATATATATGAGGATTTTATATATTTTTCTTATATTTATAATATTTCCAGGGTTATTATCCGACATCCTACCATCCTAGCAGTAATATGTAAGAAGCACATGTTTTTTTTTTTCAAAGATGTCATAAGTAGTAATTCAAGAAGAAAAAAAAAGCATGATTAAACTAACAGAAAATCTCCATGTTAATGTGTATAAAGTACCATTAAGTCTAAGCATCTTATAGCCAATATTAGGCACTCATAGCCTGTATAAAGAAAATTTATATTTATCCTGAAACCTCGTCCTTAGCATCTTAATCTAGTAGTAAGTAACCTGCATCTTTATTTTTACTTCCTCGTATATACAGAGTATAGAGAAAGTATTGTAATCGTGCAAAAAAAAAATTTTTTTAGATCACTCCCGGTTTATTTTTTTCATTTTTAGAATAGAGAGTATTTCCAATTGTTACTTTCTACGCTTTAAGCACCAGCAATAAAAGTAATCTTCCAGTGTATCTTTAACATTAAACTATCACTTTGAAAAGATAATAAGATCATTATTTCCAAAAAGTTGCTGACTTTGGCCCTAGCCTATTTCTAGTCCAAACCCTAAAGAAAACAAACTGATAATTTTGATACACTTAACAGCAGGTCATGGTGACCTGTTCCTCAAACAGAACAGAGCCAGTTAAAAAATAAAACTTCAATACCTGTGGCCCAGCTCATGGGTAGCTGTCTCCATTGCACTGTAGTCACCTTTATCTTCAATGACTGATGCGCTCAAGCCAAATTTGTTACATAAGGAACCATTGAATGAAATCCCTGAAAACAGGATCCAATTCGTCAAATAATAACTTTTAAAATGTGCTTATGGAAAGGATTTTTACATAAGGAACCATTGAATGAAATCCCTGAAAACAGGATCCCATTCTTCAAATAATAACTTTTAAAATGTGCTTATGGAAAGGTTTTTTACATAAGTAACCATTGAATGAAATCCCTGAAAACAGGATCCCATTCTTCAAATAATAGCTTTTAAAATGTGCTTATGGAAAGGTTTTTTACATAAGGAACCATTGAATGAAATCCCTGAAAACAGGATCCCATTCTTCAAATAATAGCTTTTAAAATGTGCTTATGAAAAGGTCTTATCATTGTTTGAAAATTCTGATAATATCATCCTATTTTTCAAATAATAGTTTGGAAAGTTTCTGCATAAGGGTAAATGGGATGACATATAATGAACTATTGTATGAACATCATGTAAGCATCAACATTATATTGTAACTTTTCTCACAAATAAGTAATTCTGCCAGACTTAACACATTATATAGTAAATAACTATTGTTTAAAAGTTTTTATAACTCAGTTATTAGAGTAAGAATTTTAATCTTAATAGCCAAATTATAATTGTGTATGTAAGGCCCATTATAAAAGAAACCTTTTAAGTGAAAAAAATTTGTTACAACTTACCCAAATAGTCTGTTTTTGTTACTTTATCAAACAAATCCAACCTATAAAAATTCAACTAATTCAGTTATATTTTTTTTTAAATGTCTCTAATTTTTCTCTAATTTATCTCAATAATTATCAATATTTTACAAAATAATAGGTCTAATTACTAATCAACAACTATTTATCATTTTTATAGAATCTATAATCAGACGATTTGCATATGTTATGTGTCAGAACTAGGTTTGGGAGGAGTCCGCTATAAATAGTCTCAAAATAGTGGCAATGAAGCCAGGTCAGTTGACATGTGTCTTGTTGTGTTTTGTATTTAACAAACCAAAAATTTGCTTGAAGCTTGGCCACAGAACATGAGCAGAGTTTCTTCCAGGCATCTGTTCGGGGTGGGGGGGGAGGGGGGGGCACCAAGAAAGTCTACTTCCCCCCCCCCCCCCCGACTGAACGAAATGGAATTTATATAGAAAATATATACTTTTGACAGTGTCCGCCCCTCCCAAAAATTGTTGTCCGACCCCCCCCCCCAATTTCAAGTGCACCCCCCCCCCCCCCCCAGAAGAAGAAAGTCTGGAAGAAACACTGAACATGAGCTGATGACAATATTTCAAAAATTCAGACATACCCTGTAAACAGCATCACATGGTCATAGTACAAAAATGGAATGGACCAGGGAGAGATGGTGAATGCAGCCAGTGTGTTCAGCATGTTCTTGGCATCAGCATGACCATCAGTATCCTCATTTTTGAAGAGTGTGTCTATCTTATGATTAAAAAGAAGAATTTTCTCATTTTTAGGAACAATTATCAGCATTTCTTCTCATTTAATTTATTTTAGTTTGTTTGAATAAAATTGTAATTGTAAAAAAAAAGGAATTTCTTTAATTTAATTAAGTAAATGGATGCAGCTTGCTTCCTTAGATTCAAGTACTTTTTACTTAGAAGCAATATATTTATTTTAAATTCATTCACAATTTCTAATTCAAACAATAATATAATTTAGTCTGATAAAAGATATAAGGTTGGTATCAAATGGTCAGCTTCTTTGTGTCAATGGGTTAAGCTTACTTCAAGAATACTGATGGAATTTAATAAAATATTGAGAATTTACCTTGAGAATTGATGGAATGTATTAAATATTGATGATTTACCTTGAGAATTGATGTAACCAATTAAATATTGATTTACCTCGAGAATATTGATGGAACCCAATAAAACATTGATGGTGTAGTCCATTGACTTGATCCCTTTATACCTGGTATCAATCTAAAAAAAACAAGATTTAAACCATTTCACTTCCCCTGGTGGGATGACGAGCAGTGCAAGTAACTTGAATCATGTTATCAAGTTTAAGTAAATTGTGTGTTACATTAACGCTCTATAAAACATAAAGATTAAAATGGTACTTTTATTTTTGTATTTTATTAACAAAAAATCCGTAGACTTAACACTGCTAACATAATATTCCTCTTACAATAGTTTTAAGCTTAAACAATCCATCGATATTATTTCCATTATCTAATTAATCTCAGACTGTATAATCCAACATATGACAGGATATTGTATTATTCAACAAAGACTTCATTTTTCTTAAATTAAAAGTCAAGCAGGCCAAAGATTAAGCTATTCATTTTTATTTACATGATATTTGAACAGTAAAGCCGCCAATCAATTATCTATACGAGTTTTTTTTATTTCACAGGCTTCATTTAGGAATCTTTTTTTTACCAAAACAAAGAAGTAAAATATAATACAGTGGTAAGTATTATGAAGACTTATGACTGCATGTGGCTCCTTGAATAAATAAATGCTTCATAACTTAATTTGTTAAGAGTGGTGGAAATATAACAACAGCATTAATTTTAGATGAGATGCTGAATATTAAATTATTAAAACTGCAATATCATTTATCATTGTGTTTCAATAAATACTTTTAGCTAAAATAACTTTTAAATAGCCCTTTTCTTAAAAAAATGTTTGCAACTTCTGCATAAGACTAGTGATTTATATCAATTAAGAGTATCCTTCCATCAAACCATGCAAGATAAAGACAATCTAGAAGTCCAATTAAATTAGAAATACCTAAACGTATGTCACACTATAATACAAACTAACCCCATTGAAGATAAAAGCATAATACTCAAGGAGATCTTGAAAAGCTGTTTCATTGTCAGTGTTGTGAAGAAATCTTTCCCACACACAGGTGTCTACAAAGACAGCAAGATCAATGTACAACATGGGCATGCCATCTTCTTTGGATATGGGTTTTAGGTTGTGTTTTCTCTCTTTCAAAGATGATTCTTTAGCTGTACATAATATCAAACTTTCATATCAATAAATAAATAAACAAAATTAAATATATATATATATATATATATATATATATATATATATATATATATATATATATATATATATATATATATATATATATATATATATATATATATATAATTTATATATATATATATATATTTATATGTATGTGTATGAATGTCTTTTAAATATAGTATTTTATATGTAGAAAACTCTTTTCAGCAAACTGTACTTGTAGAGTTAGGCAGAGAAATTAACTTGACTTATGTATTTGTAGGGCTCTATACATTTGATCAATGATGTTTTTTTGAAAAAAGTGTACTAATAAGCTTGCATGCATAGGTCGTGCTAGCCTTAAAATAGAGAGTTAAGCTTAGCTGTAAATGAGGGTGTTAAATAAAACCTTACATGAATGAACTGAGTCAGCAAAATAAAGTTTCTTCCTTTTTTTAGCCAGTAGATGGTAGCCCATGTAGCAGTGTGTTATTGTGTCTCTCACCATGCGCTGTGGGGGCACCAGTGTGAACACCTGACCATCGGTCACAAAATCTCCTTTCTTGAGAGTTAGAAAAAAGAGAAAAATAAAAGGAATCTCTTTTTAATATGTAAGCTGCTAATGTTTAAAGCCAATACTTTAAAAAAAAAAGTTTCTTTAAGTTTGGGCATCTAATAAGTTCACTAGTTCTAGCAATGTTCATCCTATACATCTAATTCTAGCTAGTTTTCTGGAAGATATTTTTTCTTTTTGCAAGTAGTACTATTGTTTGAAAAATAAAGTGACTTCTGGGCATTACATGATTCATCTTAAAAAGTAAAGTATGATATACATGGAGTTTTGTTAATGTATTAAATACTTTTCTTTTATTATTCAAACTGCATTAAGAAGTAGGACCATAATGTGGATTTGTTAACATGAATTAATGTAGATTTACAATTTATACAGCTTTTTAGGTTTACAAGAATTATATTTTTCTTCTTTAGATAAAATGTCTAGGTTAAATTTTTGTATTGTAAAAAAATGGTTTGTTATTTTGTTGTACTTTATTATTTTACAAAATGTAGTATCTGTTTTAAAAAGCACTTTATTTTTAAAAAGTCTTAACTTTATAAAAAGTATTTTGTTATTTTTTAAAATGTATTTTCTATTTTTAAAAATGTTATTTTGTTATTTTACAAAATGTATGTTGATAATTTTACAAAAACATTTTGTTCTTTAAAAACAAATATTTTTTATTGTAAAAGAAATATGTAATTTAAAAAAAAAAAAAATTTAAATATTTTTTTTTTAAATATTTTTGTAATTTAAAGAACAAATAGTTTATAATTCAAAAAATGTATTTTGTAATTTTGAAATATATATTTTGTCATTTTAAAAATGTGTTATTAAAACTCACAAAAGATAGTTGAACCTCATTGTGGTCACTGCCTTGCTGCCTTTCAATCTGCATGTAAGCCTGGTTGGTAACATCTTGATAAAAACCTTTATTCTAAATAGAAAATATTGCACAGAAATTTACCACTTTGTATTAACATCTTAACTTGAAGATAAGGAATATGTGATTTAAAAAAAAACCCATATAGCTACAATGTCATATACAAGTATTATTAAAGAATATAACATTATTTTTTTTTTTACATTTGTTACATTGGTGAAAAAAAAGTAGATTTAAAAAAAAAACTTGTGGCCTACAAAGTGAGTGACACTAAAGACTTTCAAATAATCTTTTTAAATTTTTTAGATGAAGCTTTAAAAGAGTAGTTACTAAAAGTTAGTAGACAAAAAATAAAAATTGTTACATTTCTGGTGTGATAATAAGATACTTTTACAACTAGAAGCTATGCATTTTTACAAACCTTCCCAGACTGCAAATGATTATGGTAGCTTAACACCCCATCCCATTAAAGCTAAACCACCAAACTGCACCTTAAAACTTAGTTTGATGAATGCTTAACCACCTTCCCAGACTGCTAATGATTATGGTAGCTTAACACCCCATCCCATTAAAGCTAAACCACCAAACTGCACCTTAAAACTTAGTTTGATGAATGCTTAACCACCTTCCCAGACCCATTATGTCCACTATGTGTACAGTAAGAAAAGAGCAAAGCATGATCACCTCTCTTGGAGTTATCTCTCTTCTTGACCTCGAGTACTGCCCACCTTGGTCAGCCTTTAACAGGTAGACAGGGATGTCAAAGTTGATGTGAGCAACACGAGTCAGTTGAAGCTGGACTGTGGCGTTTTGAGCTGTGGCTACTGTGACGTTGACCTCATCCGGCACCTGGTGCTCAGCCGTTACATTACTGCAGGTGTAACTCACCAGAACTGAAAGAAAGATGTGTATGGGGTCCACTACTAGATTATAATATTATATTATATCACCGTTGAAGGTGTAACAGGCAGAACTAAAAAAAACGTGTATATAGTACGGCGTGTGTGGTGTCTACTACTGCTAGTATTACATTACATTACTGCAGGTGTAACTCACCAGAACTGAGACAAAAATATTATATCACTGAAGGTGTACTTGGCAGAACTAAAACAAAATGTGTATATAGTGTATAGCGTGTATAGTATAGTGTCCACTACTGTACATTACTGAAGGTGTAACTAACCATAACTAAAACAAAAATAGTAAATTAAAAATTGAAGAAATTCCCTTTCCTACCCTTTGTAACCCCTAGTGTTATGTAATGTAATACGAGCCGACCCGCGGCATATCATACGCCGCTATTTACTTGTTTTATTTTCTACTTTTCAGTAATTCATAATTTGTGAATTCGACAGTACAAATGCTGCCACTGAAAATATTTGCTTTAACACACTATCAGTAGGTCGTTTCCCCCACCCTCCTTTCCCCCAACCCCTACCCTACACCCCCCCCCCCCCCGCCGTGAAAGCAGCCTCCTCTTAGTTACCTTCCCTAAGTTTAAAATCTTTTCAAACTAAATTATCTGCCCCTAATAGCCGTCACTAAACCTGGCTGTAAACATTTAGCGTGAACCAAAGCTCACCAGACCATGTAGGGGTGGGGTGGTAGGGAGCGCGCTTACAGCTTGTTTTCTAGCGTCTCCAAGAAGAGAATTATATATATATATATATATAGATGTGTATTAATCTAAAGTGTTTTAAAAGCTATTGCTACTGCCCAGCACGCAGTTTTTACCCGTGGATCCGGAGCTACGGTGGGCGTGGCCTACAAGAGTAGCAGCTAAAACCAAGAGCCACCCACTAAAAACCATTCTTGATTACATGTCTATTTCTCAGCCTTCACATCTGAAGTTTTGTTCAGCTTCTTATGTCCCTGTATGGAGATGTCTAGCAAAAATAAAATAAAACAATAAACGTGTTAATTAACTAAGCAGTAACTAATAAACCTTGAATACACACATTTTTTTAATGCAAAAGTGTGACGTTACATTTTCTGAACAACCACACCTTTTAGTCACACATCGTAATTAAAAATCCAAACTCCTTCCCCGTAATTAATGTGAAGACATTTATAGAAGACCTCTTCTCCCCCCCCCCCCCCCCCACCCCAACCAAGTAGACCATTTTGTTATGCTTTTGGACCTGATTGTCGATAAGGTAGATGAAGTAAAGTTCTTCTGTAGGCCTACATGTAAACAGTGTTTCTTCCAGACTTTTTTCTCCGGGGAAGTGGGGGGGGGGGGGGTGGACTTTCTTCGAGGGGCAGAGATCCCCCTCCCCCGAAGAGATGCCTGGAAGAAACTCTGCATGTAAATAATACACAGCAGAATTTCTTCCAGGCATCTCATCATCTACCGCCCCCCTCCCCCCACCGAACAAAATGGAATTTTTATAGAAAATATTTACTTTTAAAAGTGTCCCGTCCTGTCCACCTTCTCCCCCCCCCCCCCCCATCCTTCAGAGAAAAATAAAAAAACAATGACCCCCCCCCCCCCCCAATGTTCCTGAGACGATGGTAGAGGCGGCTACTTATCTTTGGAAGCTGAATTCATTATCTTAAATATTGGAATGTGATAAAAAAGCATAAACAATAACATGATTAATCAATAAATGCACGGCTTGACAAACTGTTTTACGTACCTCAAAATTAACCCTTACATTCTATTAGGGACAGATGTTTCAGGAAAGAGATGATGAGTTTATTTCTAGAGACTTTTGGAAAAGTTTTGTTCTGTAATGGTGCAAATCGGTGTAGAGTAAACTTTAACATTTTCTTGAAGTCCCAGATCAACATTAAACGCAAAATATTAAATTACAGTTCTTAGAAAAACGAATTTGAAAAGAAGATATAAATATACATTTAAATAAACCGGGAGTGTTCTCCCCTAAACTTTCTCGAATATTCTTATATAAAATAACAGGGGATGGGAACTCGGACTATAGACATGATTTTTAATCCATTTTAAATACTTAAAGTTTTAAAAATAGAATAAAATCTCGTAGACAAATTAATTGCACACCAAGTGAACGCCAAATAAAAAAGCGCATAATAGTGCGCAATATTATTATTACTTTTAAAATTTACATTAGTTTTTTGAGAAATCGGAAGTAGCGTAAATTACTACTTCCAGTCAACGGAAATGACTCAAAATTTAATAGAAGGTAGAGAATTAGATCTTTTACTTACATATCAAATTTCATTTATCTATCTGAAATAGTACTCAAGTTATAGGCTTTTGAAAAATTCAAAGTAGGAAAAGTACCACTTCCGGTTATCGGAAATCGCTCAAAAGTTGATACGGATCTACGATTTTGATTAAATACTTATATATGAAATTTCATCAACCTAGCTGTAACGGTACTCAAGTTATCGTGTTTACACACGGACAGACAAACACACAGACAGACACACAGACAGACACACAGACATACGGACAAGATTGCAAAATTATGTTTTTCCGTATCAGTGAGGTGTGAAACGTCGAGATTTGTAAAAATCTCGATTTTTTTTTTTTTTTTTGCACGATTGCAAGACTTTCTCTATACTTCGTATATACGAGAAAGTAAAAACATTTCAATGGCAAGTTTTTAGAATTATGCACTAAATATGAGAAAATAAATGATTTTGACAAATGTATAAAATAATCAATAAATCACCACTTTTTAAATAATTATAAAGAAAAGCTTAGGTTGCTTCCTAAATTTCAGGAAGGTTATTTAATACATAATATAGAGACCCACACTTCTCTCTAGAGCTATTTTAAATAATGGCACGTTCTTTTATAGGACTATATCATGAAAATTATTTTTAATTTTAATGCAAGTTCTACAAAAGCTTGCTGTTAAATGTTTTTCATGTATTTTTTAAATTTTTAATACAATACAAAAAACTGTCTCTAGTTCTTAGGTATCCAATTAAGTCGTATTTGATGTCAGATTGCATTGTTGTCCGATCTTGACCCACGTGCCAAGTTTGAAACAAATTGGTCCGTTAGAAGTGGTCAAAATTTTGTACGCCAGTTTTGACCCACAAGACAAAAACACGAGGAGGCAAGCTAATAGCTATCTGATACTCAATATGACTATTTATATTGTTTAAAGAAAATGGCTATTTGAAAATGTGTTGACAACTGAGCATGAAGACAGATTTAAAATTTAAATGACTTGAGACTAGATTTTAAAATGAGGTGACTTGTAGCCAGATTAAAAATCTAGATGACTTTTGGCCAGATTTTAATATTAGATAACTTATGGCCAATTTCAAAATCACACTGATGTAGCTACATTTTACTGACTGAAGTCCCTCAGAGTATGAGTAGCTACACTTCCATTTTAGATAACTGGTTGTCTCCCCTTCTAAGTCATTCACAAGCCATCAACTACCGATCTCATTTGGACAACAGCATATATTTATTAGCAGCTTCGTACCGTTTAATTTACTTTTGCATCTGTATCTACAGAAACGATTTTAAATCGATAACTTAAAGCCCACTAAATGGTGGGTAAAAAAAACTACGTAAAAGTACTAATGAACATAAAAACTATAGAGTGAAAATATTTGATACAAGACTCTTGTAACCAAGCAGGAATGTAAATCATTTTTTATTTGCAATAATAACAGTAACAAAAAGGTGTGATTAAAAAACAAAGGCAGATATGAATATCTACATATCCAATCCAAGTTTCAAAGGATTGATATGTACACATCCAATCTATATTTTATGGTTGATATTTATTTCCTATCTAGGAGGCAATAAGCCTACTGCATTAAACAATGGCTGGATCATTGTTAGGGTAATGCCAAGGTTAGGTAGCAGCAATACTCTCACAAGCAGATCCTTTAGGTGTCTGTTTTACTGTTTAATGGTTATCATTAATGCTACAACACTGTCTGTTTTAATGACTTGTCACCAGTCTCAACTTGTTTGCATCATTGGGTTCAAGGCCAACTGCGCTGCCTCTCTCAGGTCAGTGACCTGGTCAACTAACTCATGCCCGGGTGGGTACATGCTGGTGAACAGCCCCTGGCACTGGTCAGCTACGCCCAGACACTCTCGGAACCTCTCGGCATTGAAGAGTACCTCAGCCAGCTTCATCAGCTCATGGGCGTATTCAATGCTCTTGTTGCCATACATCTGCTCAGCAAATTTCACACTCTTAAACAAATGATCAGCTGACTTGGAGAAATCTCCTGGAGAAGATGGTCAACAAATAGAATGTTAGTGATTATGTTTCATGCTATTGGGTTCAATAAATGTAACTTAATACATAAATACATTGTAGGAACTGTAATTTATAAAAAAAAATACATTAACATCTACAAAACTGGTTTATAAATAGCATCCTGACTACAGTATCTTTATTTTGCAACAGTCGTCATAGTTACTATATTTGTAAACTTAGAATCTTTTTGAAAGGGTGAATCGTTTATAAAAAGCTTGTTGTGTCCCTTATTGTGCATGCTTGTACTGCCCCTTTGTCCACCAAAAATTGTAAGATGAAATATTTATTATAAACATGAGTAAGTATTATCTGTCCACTGTTTCTAAGTATTACATCAGCTCAGATTTATGGACCAGGATTTTTGGGATAAGGTTTTAAATCTTTGATAATTTAATCTAAGATAATTAAATTTTAAAAAAAAAAAGATTAATGTAGCATAGGAATGATGTTTTTTTGTTAAAAATACTGTGACAAAGTTTAGAACAAACTTACCTTGGTTGGCATAGCAACGAGCAATGGCATCTTCTAAGAGGGCCAGATCTCTGTGGTCCTTGTAGAGAAACTCTAGTCTTTCTTTCTTGCATTTCTTCAAGGCAACCAGGGCATCTATTGATTGAGGATTACTTTTTTTTAAACTATTAATTGACAGGCTATTACATTTTTTGTAACAATTTTGTACAGGCTAGAAATGCATGTGAATATGTCACTATAAACAGACAAGTTAATAACTTGCATAGACAGAGCACATATATTGAAAACACTCAGAATTATGTTGTTATCAAGCATGAATATTGAGCCTAATATATTGTAATAAAGACATCTATCAATAAAAGTGGTTAATGTGTTGCTCTTAAAAGGTATTAAAGTAATTAAAAAATCAACACAGAAAAACATATTTCTAATTAGAAGAACAAACAAAATATTTAAAATCACCTTCAAACTTTTGTAAGGCCATTAGCTTCATGCCTGCGTCACATTTTTCTTGGGTTTCATTCATGCGTTTTTTCAAGTTTTCAACAAACTGGTCACTGACCAGATGTCCACACTCCTGGCATGAGCTGCCAGACAGGATGCCAGCACAGGCTGGACACTTGTAGGCCTGGTGAATACAACCATCAAACACATCGTACAGTAACCATCAGACACAGATCATACAACAAACATCAGACACAGATTATACAACAAACATCAGACACAGATTATACAGCAACCATCGGACACAAATCATACAACAACCATCAGACAGATCATACAGTAACCATCAGACACATCGTACAGTAACCATCAGACACAGATCATACAACAAACATCAGACAGATCATACAGTAACCATCAGACACAGATCATACAACAACCATCAGACACAGATCATACAACAAACATCAGACAGATCGTACAGTAACCATCAGACACAGATCATACAACAAACATCAGACAGATCATACAGTAACCATCAGACACAGATCATACAACAACCATCAGACACAGATCATACAACAACCATCAGATCATACAACAGCCATCAGACACAGATCATACAACAAACATCAGACACAGATCATACAACAACCATCAGACACAGATCATACAACAACCATCAGACACAGATCATACAACAACCATCAGACACAGATCATACAACAACCATCAGACACAGATCATACAACAACCATCAGACACAGATCATACAACAACCATCAGACACAGATCATACAACAACCATCAGATCATACAACAGCCATCAGACACAGATCATACAACAAACATCAGACACAGTTCATACAACCACCAGATTGATGACATCCCCCATGACACTTGACATCCCCCATGACACCTGACATCCCACATGACACTTACCCCAAACCTCTCATTGATGACATCCCCAGCTGAGCAGGGGGCACACAGACAGACAAAATGGTATTGAGATTTCAATATCTCTTGTCTCTCTTCCCGTCTCATGCGACAACAGTGGGGCCCTTCAATCAATCAGTATATCAAATTACTTAGATTTTAAACATATGATATCATAAAAACCTATAGTTATTTAAAAAAATATCATAATTTGACATTAAAAATATCAAATTTTATAAGAAAATACAATCTTAACCCTTTGAGCCCTGGCCTCCCTGACCTAATTTCTCCTATTTCCTGAGCTCCCAGGCCCAAACCGATTTTCACTTATCTGCTTCTAACTTTGCCTATAACTTTTGAACCGTTTGAGATAATCAAGCCAAATTTGGTATCCAGACTCAGGATCAAACAACAATGCAGCAAGATTCTAAAACTCCTTATTTTTTTTTACAATGTTTGAACAGAACAATGTATATAAAACGAACACATAATTATTGTTTTGATAGAACATAGAAGAAACCAATTTACATTTAGTAATTGTTTTGTTTTTATTGATACCTGGCCATACTAGTTCAACACCAGAAGTCCACTTTTGTGTGATAACTTTCAAAACATTCATCACTGCCGGACCCGATGCAAAGAAAAAATTCGCATTTTGCACCAGTAAACATTTTTTTTTTCGTTTCGGCAAGTCTTTGTCCTTGACACCACGTGCATCAGAACGTACTTGAACAGTTTCATTGTCACTGTCAATTTCAATGTCACTGTGTTCAGTCTCAAATTCAACGTCACCATCATCACAATATAGACCAGGAATATTTTCTTCATCAGAATCAATAAGTAGTTGTATTGCCTTAGATGCAGTCATTCTACTTCTTTTGTTGATATTTCGGTCTTTTGCTTCATCTTTGCACCAACTTTATGTACTGAAGTCGACGGCTGTGGCTCAGCTTTTCGTTTCTGCGGCATTGCTACGAAATGTAAACACTTTCACTTTTCCTAAAATCTATTTTTAGAATCATAATCACGCACTAAAAAGACATGCCCAGTTTTAGTCAGTCTTCCGCTAATTATATTTCATTAACGGTATACCGGCCGCTAGGAATATGACGCTAGATCATCGGGCCGGAAAACCGGCTTTTCTGACATATATGCCTAATGCTGAAGCCGGTTTACCGGCCTGGCGGGCTCAAAGGGTTAATATTGTCTCATAAAATCAGAAAAAAAATAATATGATAGAATTTTGATAGAGCTAAGTTGTTGTTTCTACAGTTAGTAAGTATTTATTACATGAGTTCTGTTTAAAAATGTGTTCATGTTACTTTCCAAGTAAAATATGTTTTTCTTCTAAATGTGTTCATGGTACTTTCTAACTAAAAATCATCTGTGCTTATGTTTTTAAAAAGCAACAATAAGAGAGAACCTACCGTAGCAGTTAAAAATCTCCTCCCCTTTAGGGACATCTTTCACTGTCCTCACCACTAGGACATCACCAACAAAACTAGAGAATTACATTTCAACAGGACATCACCAACAAAACTAGAGAATTACATTTCAACAGGACATCACCAACAAAACTAGAGAATTACATTTCAACATGACATCACCAACAAAACTAGAGAATTACATTTAAACAGGACATCACCAACAAAACTAGAGAATTACATTTCAACAGGACATCACCAACAAAACTAGAGAATTACATTTCAACAGGACATCACCAACAAAACTAGAGAATTACATTTCAACAGGACATCACCAACAAAACTAGAGAATTACATTTCAACAGGACATCACCAACAAAACTAGAGAATTACATTTCAACAGGACATCACCAACAAAACTAGAGAATTACATTTCAACAGGACATCACCAACAAAACTAGAGAATTACATTTCAACAGGACATCACCAACAAAACTAGAGAATTACATTTCAACATGACATCACCAACAAAACTAGAGAATTACATTTCAACATGACATCACCAACAAAACTAAGAGAATTACATTTCAACATGACATCACCAACAAAACTAGAGAATTACATTTCAACATGACATCACCAACAAAACTAGAGAATTACATTTCAACATGACATCACCAACAAAACTAGAGAATTACATTTCAACAGGACATCACCAACAAAACTAGAGAATTACATTTCAACAGGACATCACCAACAAAACTAGAGAATTACATTTCAACAGGACATCACCAACAAAACTAGAGAATTACATTTCAACATGACATCACCAACAAAACTAGAGAATTACATTTCAACATGACATCACCAACAAAACTAGAGAATTACATTTCAACATGACATCACCAACAAAACTAGAGAATTACATTTCAACAGGACATCACCAACAAAACTAGAGAATTACATTTCAACAGGACATCACCAACAAAACTAGAGAATTACATTTCAACATGACATCACCAACAAAACTAGAGAATTACATTTCAACATGACATCACCAACAAAACTAGAGAATTACATTTCAACAGGACATCACCAACAAAACTAGAGAATTACATTTCAATAAGACATCACCAACAAAACTAGAGAATTACATTTAAAATTACATAATAAGGTTTCTTTTAGACTAAAAGTTTACATCTAATTTTAATATAAAGAAAAACAAAAATTGTAATAGTGACTGAACCAAATCTAAATTTGATTTTAATACAAAAAGTTAAATACATGTATTCATTACAATTGCTAGAAGAAAATTTTTCCAAAAGTAATTCTTCTATCATTAGTTTTAAAGTAATTTCCACATTTTCAGGTACCATTACCATTGTTTAACTTAAGAATTTACAAATAATCAAATGACTATTTACTTACAAAAAGGTTCTTTGAATCTTAAATCAAAACAATGCATTGTTATAGTTTAGAAGACAACACCACAGACCTGGATATGATTGTAGGGTCGCAGGAATGGTTCATTAAGCTGGCGGTTGGGTAGATGGCTGTGGCTATGCGAACCTGCTCTGTGTCCAGTGTCCTGCTGTCTGACCCAGGTCCAGCTTGGAGAGTGGTGATGGCGTGGGCGTTGCACACCAGCTGCAGAATATGTCGCAGGAGAAGGCCTCCAATGTTTAAGACCTCTGATGGTATCTGTTGAATGTCTCCTGAGAAGGAAAAAATGTTCGATTCAGTTCTACAAGAGTTTATAATTTAGCGTAAGTATACAAAAATCCTCTATTCATATTATAAAGTGTCACAGACTGTATAATTATGTATGTTTATATTATATTGTGTTTTACATGAAGTTGCATGAATGAAGAGTACCTGGCTAGCGGAAGGACTGTCTGAGCGATCGTCATGTGTTTTTCCATGTTTTTTGGGTGAGATCGCTCATGTACGTAAGGGGAGAGAATGGACCGCATAAAAGGGAGAGCAAAAAGGTGAACGGGTGTTGTGTGCTAGGACTTGGGACTGGAACGATGGCAGTGAATGTAAGATGTCTCCATGACTTGGAGTCGTGATTATTATTTGTACCTATATCAGTTGATCTTCAAATATGGATGTACCACGGATTTATCTGTACATAGTGTAAATAAAGTTGTCATTTGAAGTTGCCACTGTTGCTCGTGTTCCTGTATGAAAGCTAACCCACAACAACAAAGAATTCATGTTGTTACATATGGTGTCAGAAGTGGGGGCAACAACAGTTGCTACATTGTGAGCGTCTACTACTACTGTTACATTGTCAGAAGCAATTGAAGAAGTGTTGCTACATTATTATCAGACGTGTTGATACATTGGAGTCAGGTGATTGAAGAAGCTGATACATTATTGTCAGAAATGGTCAACAGTTGTTACTTTGTTGGCTGAAGTGGACGTATACTCAAGTTGTTACACTGATGTTGTTACATTGATGGATTAGATTGAAGTCAGAAATCTTCAACGAAGTTACAGTGTTACCACAAGTGATCAAAGAATTGTCACATTATTATTGTAAGCAGTTTTCAACGTTTTTGAAGTGGTCTTCCACTGTATGCCAGTGATCAACGCTGGTATATCAAGCAAGTACATGAAAGTATTAATAGTTATCTACAGTCAAGTCAAGTAATCAACGTGATAATTATTATCACATTATTTTCGACATTGTCTTACCAATGTCGGATACATATCGTCTGTAACAGATTACTGTTACACCTACAAATGTGTTTTTTTTTCTATTTGGATTTAGCTGTTCAAGTTTTTTCTATATGGATTAGCTGTTCAAGTTTTTTCTATATGGATTTAGCTGTTCAAGTTTTTTCTATATGGATTAGCTGTTCAAGTTCTTCTACTGTGGATGAGCAGATCTAGTTTATTAATTGTAAACTGTTCCTAAAGATGTCTTATCTAAAACTGGACAAATTTCTACTCTGTAACAGGCTACTAGAACTATTTTGAATTTTTTCAACTTTTTGGAATCAACAAAGTGAACTATTTTTGGACGTATATATGTACTATGAACTTTTCTTGGATTACCAGATGTCTGTAATCAACTAAAACAAGCCAGAAACCAAGAAAGGGTATTGTAAATTAATTAACATTTTTCTATTGTCAACTAATGAATTTATATTTTATGTCATAAATAGAAAATATATCAAAATGTTATGTTTTGAAGAATATCTAGCACTAACGAGGGCGCAAGGCATTAAGAAGATGAAGAAGCAGATAGCCTGGGCAAACACTCGATTTGACAGAGACATAGAAAAAGCATTAGAAGCATGGGACGAAGAAAATGAACAACCCAGACTAGCTCATGGAAAAGTAATAAGAGAATTAAATGGTGAGACAGAAATAGTGCGTAATAGATCAAGAGCTATTACAGAGGTGCAAAAAGAAGAAGAAATGTCAGATGGAGATAAAGTAGAGGAGTCTGTACAATCAAAAGGAAAACGGAAAAAAAGAAACAGAAAACAGAGAGCAGATAAAAGGGCTGAAACTATAGAAAAACAAGTTGGCCTACATGAACTAGCATATGAACAAGAACTATTAGAAATGAAAGCTATAACAGACACAAATGAACCAAAATTAGAAAGTGAACAGACAGAATTTAAAGCAGAACTTGAAGAAGTAAATATTAGCAACCTTTGGAATGAAGAACAGAGTAACATAGTCCAGGAAGAATTGAAACCCAAGGAAAAAACAGAGGGTGAACTTACTAATGATTTAAAGGTGACAGATACATTAGAATGTCTTAAGATTGACTCTTTATTGACTCAAACGCAGGTACACGAGAATATTATTGAAAGTTGTATCGTAAGTCCATCAGAGAATGGCGGTCAACAAGAAACAAGTCCATCAGAGAATGGTAGTCAAAATGATTTTATAAGCCCATCAGTGAATGGCAGTGATGATTTAATAAGTCCATCGGAGAATGGCAGGAATCATGATAAACTAATGATGATTAATGAATCAGTGAACTTAATAAGCCACAATGAAGAGAACGTACCAATTGAAGATTTACTTCGAAAATTGGAGTCAAACTATAAAGAAGATATACTAGAACTCAAGGATAAATTTAACAAAGAAATGGAGAAATTAACCCAGAAATTTATGTGTGAATTAGAATCAATAAAGAAGCATAAGGAAGTTAAGAAAGATGAAACAATATCTACAAATTACAATGTTAATAAAAATGCACAGAATGAAAGTAAAAGAAATGTAACAAACTATGAATACAGTCAACATGTTAATAAGAATGTCATTAATGTCATTAATGCACAGAATGAAAGAAAAAGAAATTTAGCAAACTATGAATACAGTCACCATGTTTATAAGAAGCCAAAATCTAGATTTTTTACTGCGGAAAAACAGGTCATTACCAAAATCAATGTTGGCATAGGTTGGCAAATCAGAGAAGAAACAATTATTATGTACAAAGAAAGTCATGTGAAAAATACAGTAAGTTAAGAAATAATGTATCAAGTTCTAATGAAAGATACCGAAGCAAGATGTATTATGAGCGGCCAAAGCAATGCCATAATATTTGAAGTTGCCACTGTTGCTCGTGTTCCTGTATGAAAGCTAACCCACAACAACAAAGAATTCATGTTGTTACATAAAGATTAAAAGCAATTTTAAGACTGTTACGCAACTAAACATGATATAAATATCTTAGGTTACATTTTAGTTACGCTATGTAAGAGAAGATAATTAAAACCAATTACCATTTTCCCCCAACATAGAAGCTGCCAGAGAGTCAGAGCAGCTTAGCTTATTGAAGTACCCAGCATGAGTCAGGGTCACAAGCAGAAGAGCTCCTGTCTACATCAAAATAAAAGTAAAATTTAACACACCCTATGGAACAAAACTGGCCAGAAATCTTTAAACTTATCTGTCCTGCATTGCCACGTGGCCATTACTTTGCTCATCTTCAAACCAAGTCAGTCATTTTTCTCCATTGTAGCCATGATATATTCAGTGAATTAAAACCAGAAAGTTCCCACAAAATTTTTTAATATTTTCAGACATATTTAAAAACAGAAAGTCACAGTACAATATGAAGTAAATTAAAAACCAGAAAGTTACAATTGAACTACAAGTGTCTTCAATTAAATAAATATCCATTGAAAATAAAAAGATTTCAAACAGAAAGTTACCATAGAATACTAAAGTAAAAAACCATAAAGTTACCGTAGAATGCTGAAGTAAAAACCAGAAAATTACCATACTGAAGTAAAAACCAGAAAGTTTCCATACTGAAGTAAAGACCAAAAAGTTTCCACAGAATACTGAAGTAAAGACCAAAATGTTTCCACAGAATACTGAAGTAAAAACCATTAAGTTACCATAGAATACTGAAGTAAAAACCAGAAAGTTACCATAGAATACTGAAGTAAAAACCATTAAGTTACCATAGAATACTGAAGTAAAAACTATAAAGTTACCATACAATACTGAAGTAAAAACTATAAAGTTACCATAGAATACTGAAGTAAAAACTATAAAGATACCATAGAATACTGAAGTAAAAACCAGAAAGTTACCATAAAATACTGAAGTAAAAACTATAAAGTTACCATATAATACTGAAGTAAAAACCATAAAGTTACCATAGAATACTGAAGTAAAAACCAGAAAGTTACCATAGAATAATGAAGTAAAAACCAGAAAGTTACCATAGAATAATGAAGTAAAAACCAGAAAGTTACCATAGAATAATGAAGTAAAAACCATAAAGTTACCATAGAATACTGAAGTAAAAACCAGAAAGTTACCATAGAATACTGAAGTAAAAACCAGAAAGTTACCATAGAATACTGAAGTAAAAACCAGAAATTTACCATAGAATACTGAAGTAAAAAACCAGAAAGTTACCATAGAATACTGAAGTAAAAACTAGAAAGTTACCATAGAATACTGAAGTAAAACCCAGAAAGTTACCATAGAATACTGAAGTAAAAACCAGAAAGTTACCATAGAATACAGAAGTAAAACCCAGAAAGTTACCATAGAATACTGAAGTAAAACCCAGAAAGTTACCATAGAATACTGAAGTAAAAACCAGAAAGTTACCATAGAATAATGAAGTAAAAACCAGAAAGTTACCATAGAATAATGAAGTAAAAACCAGAAAGATACCATAGAATACTGAAGTAAAAACCATAAAGTTACCATACTGAAGTAAAAACTATAAAGTTACCATAGAATACTGAAGTAAAAACCATAAAGTTACCATAGAATACTGAAGTAAAAACTATAAAGTTACCATAGAATACTGAAGTAAAAACTATAAAGTTACCATAGAATACTGAAGTAAAAACCAGAAAGTTACCATAGAATACTGTAGCAGGTCCAGTGGTTCTGTGGACTCCTCATGTGTCATGAGGTCGTACACAGCCACGTAGCTGCGGTCATAGACCCCCTCGGAGTTGAGACCCCTGGTCAGTGGGTCATCTGACAGTCTGTACTGCTGCTCATCTCTGAGAAACTCTGAAAATGTCACATATGACATGGATTTCACAAATGTCACAGTTAATTTAAAAAAAAAACACATAACATACACCTGTCAATCAAATATACACACACTCCCATGATACATCATTTAGCAAGTCAAGATTTGTTTTTAAAAAAGGCATTAGTCATTGTAAATCTGGGTAAGTTCCCTACAAAACAGTGCCATGGACTAGAGGTGACCTTTTGTACAGCAAGGCTGCATTTCACTAGAAGTTGGGGAGGGCTATAAAGTCCATAAAAAATGTCTATGCCTGATACTTTAAACAAAGGGGTGATTAAACCTAACGAGGTGTAAATGGTAATATCAAAAAGGTTTTTTAAACTTCAGGAGATGTGAAGGAAAGTTTACACAATAAAGTATTCCATACACTATGTATTTAGTGAGAGATCATTTGAAAATTTCAAAGAAAAAGCCACTATATAGTTGGAATCAATGTAGTAGTTAATTCACACATGCCTGATTTATACAAAGTTTATTCAATGTACTAGTCATTTCAAACATGCATTATTTATAGAGTTTATTTAATGTCCCGGTCATTTCACACATGCATGATCTATGCTGAGTTTATTCAACCAAAACTTACAGAACAAACATTCTTGACTCTCTTACCTTCAAGAAAATTGAGTTTAGCAGTCAAAATAATACGTAAACTTAAATGAGCAATACCAACCTGAAAAAGATGATTGCAGAATTCAGGCAAAAGATTATAATTCACTGATTATAGACAAAATCATCTAAACTAGTAAAAGCCAATTAATTCCTACTCCAAGCACAAAAAGACTGCAACTTACTGAATGGAAAAGATCTAAGTATCTACATTCATCACAAAAAGACTGCAACTTACTGAATGGAAAAGATCTAAGTATCTACATTCATCACAAAAAGACTGCAACTTACTGAATGGAAAAGATCTAAGTATCTACATTCATCACAAAAAGACTGCAACTTACTGAATGGAAAAGATCTAAGTATCTACATTCATCACAAAAAGACTGCAACTTACTGAATGGAAAAGATCTAAGTATCTACATTCATCACAAAAAGACTGCAACTTACTGAATGGAAAAGATCTAAGTATCTACATTCATCACAAAAAGACTGCAACTTACTGAATGGAAAAGATCTAAGTATCTACATTCATCACAAAAAGACTGCAACTTACTGAATGGAAAAGATCTAAGTATCTACATTCATCACAAAAAGACTGCAACTTACTGAATGGAAAAGATCTAAGTATCTACATTCTATCTGGTGATATAAATCCCAGGCAGCCTCTCTGCATGACTCGTTACAAAATCTGACAGAAGTGCACTGCTCGCAGCTGAAGTACAAGGATAAAAAATGTATCTTTAAATCAAAATTTTAATTTCAAAAACAAGAATAAAATATTTAAATTTAAATCTTAGAGTCAAAATTTAAAATTAAGATTTGTCCATACTGTAACTATAAAAAAAAAAATAATGACTTTGTCGCAAACAAACACACAGACGTACAAGACTTGTTCTCATTATTTCAGAGATTAGAAATTTGATCTACCTACCCAATGGGTGTGTGTGGCAAGGGAGAGAAGCAATGATGACAGTGTGTCTGGTAGTGATCAGGTAGCAGTACAGCAGCAAATGGACGTTCCACAATCAAGGTGGAACCTTTGGGGATAAATCTGCTGGCCTGAACACAGTGGTGGTAAAGGAATTATTAGCAAATTATTATCATCACTTTTTACATGGAGTCATTTTGACAACTATCTTTTTTAACAGAAAAAAAAAAGTTAATAATGTAAATACTGTAGTACCCAATAGAACAAAGATGTCATAGAAGTATTGTTCAATAGAACTCAATCTGCTGCAATTGCAAGATTTTTTTAAAAGAATAAACCCATTTCATTAAAGCAAATTTCTCACGGGACTGTCCAAATTGCCAAATTAAGGCAACATGACAAGAAGAATGGGGTGAAAGAGAAAACTGGGAAGTAGCTAAAGAATATCTAAATATGCTGGCACATATGCATTAGTTGTTTGCTGTGTATGTATAAATTTACTTGTTCGCTTTTCCATATCTGTTTTCAATAGTTATTCTAAAATACAACGTTCAATAAATTTTTATCATTGTTGTATGTGATCATTTATAATTTAATTTTCCACTGGCTCTGTATAAATATATTTTTTTCTATAAACATAACCATTAACAAGTAACTAAGAGATGCGCATGTAATGTGCCATGCCCTACAGACATCCTAGGAAAACATCTTTCACAAGTTTATAAAAGGTTTGCACCACCTCGGAATAAATTAAACAGTTTCCACTAAAAAAGCTGATGAATTATTAATTATTTCATACAAAAAAAAACCTCATCAAACAAACTGCTTTACAGAACTATTTGCAATCCTTCTTCAATGTATCACCACTATACTGTAAAATTATTTTTTGTCTACTAATGAAATCTACAATGCTCTTTATATAGTAGATTTCTAGATACTAAAGCACATATAAAACCATCAAAAAATTCTAGTTTAATTTGTAGAATATGCTATTTAAAAGAAGTATGACTATAACTCATACATTAAACAAGTAGTTTTTTTTATCAAAAGATGACGTCCCTTCTCAGGTGTATTTAAAAGAAGTATAAATATAACTCCAAAGTTAAACGAGTAGTTTTTTTTACCAAAAGATGACGTCCCTTCTCAGGTGTATTTAAAAGAAGTATAAATATAACTCCAAAGTTAAGCGAGTAGTTTTTTTTTACCAAAAGATGACGTCCCTTCTCAGGTGTATTTAAAAGAAGTATAAATACAACTCATACGTTAAACGAGTAGCTTTTTTTACCAAAAAAAAACGTCCCCTCTCAGGTGTATTTAAAAGAAGTATAAATACAACTCATACGTTAAACGAGTAGCTTTTTTTACCAAAAGATGACGTCCCTTCTCAGGTGTAACAGATAGGGAAACAGCCTTTGATGCCTGACGTACAATGGGATTGATGCCAACATACACTGAGGGAATTTCCTTTAGACTTCTGTCCTGGGAGCTTCTTTCTTCTTTTCTAGTCAGGCAACAACAGATTATAACATCACTATAGAGTTTACAACATAACTATACAGATTACAACATAACTATACAGATTACAACATAACTATACAGATTACAACATAACTATACAGATTACAACATAACTATACAGATTACAACATAACTATACAGATTACAACATAACTATACAGATTACAACATAACTATACAGATTACAACATAACTATACAGATTACAACATAACTATACAGATTACAACATAACTATACAGATTACAACATAACTATACAGATTACAACATAACTATACAGATTACAACATAACTATACAGATTACAACATAACTATACAGATTACAACATAACTATACAGATTACAACATAACTATACAAGAAAATCTTTGGATACAAATCTGTTTTTTGGCCGATTCTAGCCGGAAAAAGATACACATGCGCAATGGAGAGAAACTACGACTTGCATTCTCGGGGGTGTTTTCGATGGTACTACGCATGCGTGTGTTTACAACCGCTGAACCCTAATCCTAGCCCTAACCCTAACCCAGCTATTAAGGTCACTGCACATGCGCAGAACTATCTTTTGTTCCCCCCCCCCCCCCCCAGTGGAGACGCTGCGGAGAAAAATCTTTTTCCGAGTAGTCACTTTGCTGTTTTTTATGTGGTCCAGTTTGTTTTAGGACAGCAAAATTATTATTGTAGGAAAAATGAACTCTATATTAAAAATATTTATTTAAATTTTATTGCAGAATTTATTTACATAGCTTTCAGGACTTATTCTCTTTTATAGCTTTTAGAACAGCTTATTTATTACAACTACTGCTTACACCCTCCAGCTCAACCAATGAATTCAAATTAAATCTACTTACAATTCTTGTTTCAATTTCTTAAGCTGGTCCACCTCTTTCATAAACTCTTCTGAAAGTTAAAATTCATTATTTTTTTAGCTAAAATTAAAGACATTTTGACAGGCACAAAAAAAATCTCTTTCAGCATTTGATGTCTTTGATAACAACAAAAAACTTGACTTTTTATCATCTACTACCACAGCTTACCTCTCCTTGACCCCTGTAGACTGAAGCTTTCACTCTGGACAAAGGAAGATAACTGCTGGAAACCTGGACAGAAGTTTAAACAATGAGTAAGATAACTGTGTGTTGCAAATAATTCAGTTGCGTTAGAAATTAAAAAAGATAACTCGCTTAAAAAACACCACTCGCTTTAAGTCTAGTATTATTGGAACATCCGTTTTAATTTTAGACAATCTTTGGTAGTTATTTTATAAGACTTTTAAATCTGGCAGAAAGATAAAAAAGTCTGCGAAGCTAAGAGTTAAAACTGAAACTGCTTTGATAGAACAAGATGGAGAACTTGAGGTGCCATTAGGCTTAGTGAAGACTCAGTGATTTCAATGTAAGCAAATAATTGTTAAAAAAAAAAAAACAAGACTACGCAATAGCCAACCTTTCTGTAGAGCTTTAACAAAATAATGCAGTATTTATAGTGGCACAAGCAGAAAGTGAAGAGCCAATATGGCAACTCAGATAAAAAAAAAAGGAAATGGCAATACACTCTTCAGCTTCCTGTTTCTGGCCCAGCTTGATTAGGGCTGATGTTTTCCTGGCCAACAGTTTGTGCATGGACTCTGGTGGGAAATCATGTTCTACTGCCCTGCTGATGTCTATCAGACAGTCCTGCAATGGGACAGTTGATTACATTACAGGCAAATGCAGGAAGTGGGTGCTTAATTACATCAATAGTGTAAAATATTATGTGTAAAATATTATGTGTAAAATGGGTCACGTTAATCCTGGAACTGGATGGTAAATTCCATCAGTACAGTTAAATATTACACCTACTTAGTAATTCATGGGTATGAATATTAGTCATTAATTAAAATCAAGGCAGTGATGGGGGATGGTTCAGTGTGATTTCATTTAAATTTTATGTTTTCAAAATACAGCCCATTGCTTGTTTATTTTTTTCTATCTTTTAATGGTAAAATAATTACAGCCCTATTACCTCTCCCTAATTGTGCGACTAACTTTCTACTTCCAGCATTGTACACTATGTTTAATTCAAATCACCACTTTGCAGGCCTATATACCTGTCACAGCCCTTTTTTATGACTGGGTTCATGGCACAAACTAAAGGCAAATACAAACCACATTATTGGTGATTTTACAGTCTTTTATTGATATCAGATATATAGCAGCTACACTACTAGAACCATGACTTTCAGTTTCATCATCCCCTCGCGCTCTCTCTACCTCTCTCTGCTTCCTTTCCTTAGCGCATGCGCACACTTATACTATATTTTATATTCATATCGATACATACTAGAAACATACATTCATCTACCTTATATAACCCCAGGTGAAAAAGTGTGACTACCTTATATAACCCCAGGTGAAAAAGTGTGACTACCTTATATAACCCCAGGTGAAAAAATGTGACTACCTTATATAACCCCAGGAGAAAAAGTGTGACTACCTTATATAACCCCAGGTGAAAAAGTGTGACTACCTTATATAACCCCAGGTGAAAAAGTGTGACTACCTTATACAACCCCAGGTGAAAAAGTGTGACTACCTTATATAACCCCAGGTGAAAAAGTGTGACTACCTTATATAACCCCAGGTGAAAGTGTGACTACCTTATATAACCCCAGGTGAAAAAGTGTGACTACCTTATATAACCCCAGGTGAAAAAGTGTGACTACCTTATATAACCCCAGGTAGAAAAGTGTGACTACCTTATATAACCCCAGGTGAAAAAGTGTGACTACCTTATATAACCCCAGGTGAAAAAGTGTGACTACCTTATATAACCCCAGGTGAAAAAGTGTGACTACCTTATATAACCTGAGGTGAAAAAGTGTGACTACCTTATATAACCCCAGGTGAAAGTGTGACTACCTTATATAACCCCAGGTGAAAAAGTGTGACTACCTTATATAACCCCAGGTGAAAAAGTGTGACTACCTTATATAACCCCAGGTGAAAAAGTGTGACTACCTTATATAAACCCAGGTGAAAAAGTGTGACTACCTTATATAACCCCAGGTGAAAAAATGTGACTACCTTATATAAACCCAAGTGAAAAAGTGTGACTACCTTATATAACCCCATGTGAAAAAGTGTGACTACCACATATAACCCCAGGTGAAAAAGTGTGACTACCTTATATAACCTGAGGTGAAAAAGTGTGACTACCTTATATAACCCCAGGTGAAAGTGTGACTACCTTATTTAACCCCAGGTGAAAAAGTGTGACTACCTTATATAACCCCAGGTGAAAAAGTGTAACTACCTTAAACAACCCCAGGTAGAAAAGTGTGACTACCTTATACAACCCCAGGTGAAAAAGTGTGACTACCTTATATAACCCCAGGTGAAAAAGTGTGACTACCTTATATAACCCCAGGTGAAAAAGTGTGACTACCTTATATAAACCCAGGTGAAAAAGTGTGACTACCTTATATAACCCCAGGTGAAAAAGTGTGACTACCTTATATAACCCCAGGTGAAAAAGTGTGACTACCTTATATAACCCCAGGAGAAAAAATGTGACTACCTTATATAACCCCAGGTGAAAAAAGTGTGACTACCTTATATAACCCCAGGTGAAAAAGTGTGACTACCTTATATAACCCCAGGTAAAAAAGTGTGACTACCTTATATAACCCCAGGTGAAAAAGTGTGACTACCTTATATAACCCCAGGTGAAAAAGTGTGACTACCTTATATAACCCCAGGAGAAAAATGTGACTACCTTATATAACCCCAGGTGAAAAAGTGTGACTACCTTATATAACCCCAGGTGAAAAAGTTTGACTACCTTATATAACCCCAGGTGAAAAAGTGTGACTACCTTATATAACCCCAGGTGAAAAAGTGTGACTACCTTATATAACCCCAGGTGAAAAAGTGTGACTACCTTATATAACCCCAGGTAGAAAAGTGTGACTACCTTATATAACCCCAGGAGAAAAAATGTGACTACCTTATATAACCCCAGGTGAAAAAGTGTGACTACCTTATATAACCCCAGGTGAAAAAGTGTGACTACCTTATATAACCCCAGGTGAAAAAGTTTGACTACCTTATATAACCCCAGGTGAAAAAATGTGACTACCTTATATAACCCCAGGTAGAAAAGTGTGACTACCTTATATAACCCCAGGTAGAAAAGTGTGACTACCTTATATAACCCCAGGTGAAAAGTGTGACTACCTTATATAACCCCATGTGAAAAAGTGTGACTACCTTATATAACCCCAGGTGAAAAAATGTGACTACCTTATATAACCCCAGGTAGAAAAGTGTGACTACCTGATATAACCCCAGGTAGAAAAGTGTGACTACCTTATATAACCCAGGAGAAAAAGTGTGACTACCTTATACAACCCCAGGTGAAATAGTGCAGCCGACCTATTACCCAGACTAACACTGACATCCTCCTTCACTTCAGCATTCAGACAACTCTGGAAAAAAAAATGGTGGATTGGAGTGTTACACTGTAACTGTAAGACAAAGTTAATTTTTTTAATTTGAAACAAATTATTTATAAGCAGAAACAGTAAAAAGTATAGGCCAACTACAAATTACTTAAGCAGAAAAACAGAGACACACAAGGCAAACCAGCTTAGTGAAACAGCAATTAAGGGGGTAAAAAAACATAAAATTACCAAATTGAATGATGTTAGTAAATAAAAAATTATAAATTCACTAACTAAACAAAACAAAAAATTAAGATTGTCTAAGTTTTAGTTAAGTTAATTGCAACTTTAGTGTTTACTTTTTTCCTTTAAAATTTAAAGTTTTATGGGGAAAATATTCAAGTGTGTAAATATCACATTCACTAAGTTAGAGGTGATTAATTCACTCACTTTGGAGGAAAAGAGTATCTTGCAGTAAAAAAAAAAATTTCTTACAATTTAAAAATGATGAAGTGTAACCATTTATTCTTGGTAAAAAAACAATAATTATCCAAATAAAGGCAAGCATGCAAGCAAATTATAGATCTTGTAGGTGTGCTCTAAAATCATTTTCTCACCTCAGTATAAGAATTAGCTGCATCCTGATATTTTTTCTGTTGAAAATATTTGTTGCCTTTATTTTTCCAAACTCTTGCAACCTCAGATGACTTTCCATGCCAGCTCTTACAAGAGGTGAAATATGCAGGCAGCCATTCCACTTTTCTTTTAAATAACAAGAAAAATCGTATATTAAGAAGTAGTCCCCTTTTTAAAATGTTTCATTTTCAATACAGTAATCACAATCTTAGTCAAATATAACAAGCAAGTTTGAAAACAAAATCTTTAACTGGGGTAGATCTATTTCAATGGTCACTAGCAGGGTGAATCAAAGTTTCTATTTTTTTTTTTTGCCACTACCTTAACCCTGGCATGTGCACCGCTAATCTAACAATACTACAGACTAGGGTGTTGGTAAATTGCACCGCTAATCTAACAATACTACAGACTAGGGTGTTGGTAAATTGCACCACTAATCTAACAATACTACAGACTAGGGTATTGGTAAATTGCACCACTAATCTAACAATACTACAGACTAGGGTCTTGGTAAATTGCACCACTAATCTAACAATATTACAGACTAGGGTGTTGGTAAATTGCACCACTAATCTAACAATACTACAGACTAGGGTGTTGGTAAATTGCACCACTAATCTAACAATACTACAGACTAGGGTGTTGGTAAATTGCAACACTAATCTAACAATATTACAGACTAGGGTGTTGGTAAATTGCACCACTAATCTAACAATACTACAGACTAGGGTGTTGGTAAATTGTTAGACACAAAACGACAAGGCAGTAAATTGCTAGAAGAAAATACAAGACATACCTGCAGAACCACGGGTAAATAATGAGACACAAATTGCTAGACATTTTTTTGTTTGTTTTTTTACCAGACATGCAAGAAGAAAAGTTATAAACTTAGTGAGTGTTGTATGTTGTTCTTTTTTCTTTTAAAATTTTCTTAATCTAGTTTGTTTTGATTTTTTTTTTTAATATTAAAAATGTTTACATATTTGCTCCTACGATCGCCTGCTCATTTTTTGATAGCAGTAGAAAAATTAATTCCCTGTCGACAGGGCACTGTGAGTTCTAGATCTTCTGAATCTGATCTAGGCCCTAGAAAATAAGAAATACTACTACTAGTACTAGATCTCTAGATCTAGATTCGGTAAAATCACGATATAGCGTCGGTTATTATTCCGGAACTGTACAGCAGTAAAAAACAGTAAAACCATGGCGTAGTCTGTCGAGCCGTTCCGGAAACCACCGGAAATACTGTAAACCAGCATTTATTTGCCGCCATATTATTTTAAATACATAATGTTGAAAAATGTGCAATGATTGATTTAAGTTGCAATTTAAATACTGTTTTGCTAATTATTTTGTATTTCTAATTATTTTAAGTGTATGTGCTAATTATTGCTGCTACTAAACATTATTCTAGTTATTCTTACTACTTTAACTTTAGAAAATCTAATCGTCTTATCTACTAACAGAACTAGAGCTGGTTGTCGCAAATCTTCTGCAAGTTTTTTCTGTTTCTTAAAAAAAAAGCATTAATTACTACATTCGACTTTAATAATAATATTAAGATTTACTAATTGTTGCTAATTTTTTGTCAGTTAAACATTAAATTAAGTTAAAACATTAATTTAATGCACTTGACTTTATTTTTCTTTCAGCGGTCAAATAAACTATGGTTTACAGTAACGAATGTTACCGAAACTCAACGAACATTACCCAATAATTTCCGACGCTATATCGTGATTTTACCCTAGATGCCCTAGATTCTAGATCTACTTACTATTCTAATTCTAGATCTAGACTTTCTAGATCTAGAATAAATCTAGATCTATTCTAGATCTAGATTCTAGATCTAGATTCTAGAATCTACTAGATCTAGTACTAAGTACTAGATCAGTAGTAGAATCTAGTAGAGTAGTACTATTCTAGATCTAGACTCTAGAGTCTAGTAGGCCTATAAATAAAATTTTGGCCTGCTAAATTTCAATTTACTTTACTTTAAAAGTTTCTTCTGGAAAATATAGTTCACTCGGTCGTTATTTGTTTTAAAAACTTCAAATGAGCTGATATATTTAGAGCTTTCACTTTCTTCCGCTATGTTGTCGATACTTTTTTGCCAATTGCCGAAATCTATGGGCGCTGCCATTTTTTAAAACAGGGGATAGCACTGCTAAATACTAAATAGATGCAGGGAGTATCCATTTATAAAAATATAAATAATAAGTATTAATAAGGTAACCTTTTGTCTTTAAACTAGACCTAGTGGTCATCGAATTTATCATTATGGCGTCCACAAGAAATGGTAATTTAGACACCCTCCACAAGCGTTATCATTCGACATAACACTCACCCTCGAATGGTTGACTAGAACAGGGGTCGGCAACCTGCGGCTCGCGAGCCGCATGCGGCTCTTTTGATGTCAAGATGCGGCTCTCCAGCTCCTTGCACAAATACTGATAATCTTAATCAAAAAATAAAATACTTGAAATAAAACATTGTTAGTGGCTCTTTAACACCAGGGACATTTTGAAAATTGTAACTTTTGGCTCTTCCGCTTCAAAAGGTTGCCGACCCCTGGACTAGAAGATACAATAGGCCTATCAAACTCAATTTCAATAACATTGTTGTATTGTGTACTTTGCAATGCCGTTAAAAGCTAAAGCATTTCAATTTTCTATTAAAAAAATTATTATAGATCTATACATGTTTGAGTAATTAAAAAAGAAAACCAAACTTGTTCATTAGTCAATAAGAAAAAGTCGGATATTTACTTTTCAATTTCTTAGTGACAGTTATACCTTTTTTTAATCTAAAATTAAAAATTTATGGTCTAAGGGAAGCAAATATGAAAATGTTTTAGCTCATATCTTTGACGGAGTTACCTTGCTCACTTTAACAACAAGTACATTTCGTTTAAGAAATTAAACCCAAAGTTAAAATTTACTAAAAAAAAACACATTCAAGTCTTTTAAAACCTTAATTTTTCTAAACATTCTTAATTATTAAGAACATCCATTTACATTAAAATTAATTGTAATAATTTGATAAAGACATAGGAGTCATCTTTAAATGAAGTGACGCTTTACAGTTTGTAGCATTAAGTTTTTTGTCAGCTGCATTTGTGATTATAATTTGTGATAATGTTTGAGATTTATTTTATGCAAATCTGTTCAAATAGAATTAATTATTCTAAGTAAAATTATTTTATACAATCAAATGTGAACGACCATAAATGTATTACACTTAGTAGTTTGACATGCTTAATATTTAATTACTTGTACTTGATATTTTCCGTATAGTATTATTTATTATTTAAAGTATTATTTATTAAATCTTTTTAAATCCTGTTTTAAACTTTAACATTCAAAGCGGGATAACCTGTACACAAAAAGCAATTTAAATATTTTATGAATTTCATACCAGAGCAAATATTACTAATAACAAAATATATACAATAAAAATCTCCTTCACTAAACATTTTAATATTTAAAGCAGAAGATTTTTGCAAACAACACATGCTCTTTCTTTTCTTTTCCATAATGAATATATTTCTATGTAAAAGGTTGTTTAGAAAAATATGAGATTATTAAAATCTAATATTGTGAAATTATGCAAATTGTAACCTTGTGTTTTTTTTATCATTTTTTTAACACATGATTTAAAATATCAAAAGTGAGGAAACCCCGTCATAACTAAAATGTGAAACATTTTCATGCTTGTTTCCCTTGGCCTAAATTTTTTAAAAAGATAGATCACTCTTACGTGTAACTTTAAAAAGTAAATACTTGGTTACTTCTCTTTGACCGTAAAAGATTTTTTTTTTAAAGAATTTTTTTTTAGAAAAATGGGGGCGTCTATAAATGACGTCATATTCGTAGGGGGAGGAGGGGAGTCCGTAATAAAGTAATTTTGTGACTGTGTGTCTAGCCGTTATTACGCGTTTTAGAAAACTGAGTTGTAATTGATTGTAATAGGAATTAATCAAAATATTCTATGTTGACAAGATTTCGGCAAAATATCTTTTTTCAAGAAAAATTCCACTGCAACTTTGAGGGGTTTGAAGGCTGATGTGAGACGTCATATGGGGGGGGGGGGTGTCTGGCTTTTTATGACGATGTGTGACTGAGGGAAGGGAGGGGGGGGGGGAATGTCAAAAAAAGCGTGACGTCATTTATGGATGACCCCTTTACTATTATTTAGGAAAAGACCAACACTCTTCTTTATGGTTATTTAAATAGTAGAGTATCCTTATATATTTAAAGGAAATCATTTATTTTCTCATTTCTCCTTTTTGTGCATTATTACATAAAAGCGTGTTGTTAAAGTTTTTTATGCATTTTTACTTTCTCGTATATAGGCTACGAATCGTGCACAAAAATAACATGAAATGAAATTTTGACAGTTTTCACCGTTTTACTCCTCAGTCCTTCATCACATCCGGAGTATAGAGGACTTTTTTTAATCAGGCAAAAATTATAAATACAAATATATAAACATTTGGCGTTGTTTGCGTTATCGAGTCGTAAAAACTGGACTTTGCAATTATGTCCGTATGTCTGTCTGTCTGTCTGTGTGTGTGTGTGTGTGTGTGTGTGTGTGTGTGTGTGTGTGTGTGTCTGTGTCTGTGTGTAAACACGATAACTTGAGTACCGTTACAGCTAGGTTAATGAAATTTCCTATATAAGTATTTTATCAAAATCGTAGATCCTGATCAACTTTTGACCGAATTCCGATAACCGGAAGTGGTACTTTTTCTACTTTGAATTTTTAAAAAGCCTATATAAGAAAAATGTGGGTCACTTTAGTATCTGTTGGATACCTTCACATATATTTATAAAGAGATCCACGCTTTTCTTTATAGTTATTTAAATAGTAGTGTATAATTTATTTTCTCCTTTTTAGTGCATTATTACATAAAAGCTTGTTATTAAAACGTTTTTTATGACATTTTTAAGTACATTACATGTTTTTATTTACAATAGAGTTATATGATTAAAAACCATTTCGCAACTATTGAACGTGATGAGGCGTTTGATGAAACAACCTACTAGTTTGGACAAAGTTTTAATTAATTCATAAAAAATTAATCAGGCAACCAATTAAGTCAAATTTAATGTCATGTTGCATTGTCTTCATGTCTTGACCCACGTACCAATTACGAACAGTATCGGTCAGTTAGAAGTGCCTGCAATTTTGCTCGGGCGTTTCTATCTGACCAGACTAACGACAGACTGACGACTTACGAGGGAGTTAAATAAAAGCTTGTAAAAATAGAATAAAATCTCGTAGACAAAAATAATTGCACACCAAGTGAACGCCAAACAAAACGAACATAA